ATTATCCTCATTTTATGAGCAGGCACAGAGAGAACACATAGCAAGTACCTAAGGAGCTAATATTAAAAACCAGGCAGTTTGGGGCCAGCCCCATACTCTTAGCAATGATGATTTACTGCATCTCTGAGGGGTAGAATTAGACCAGTGATTCCCAAACGTTAGTGTGCGTCAGAATCACCTGGAAGGCTTGTTAAAACACAGTATTTCTGAGCCCCACCCCCAGACGTTCTGGTTCAGCTAGAGAATTTGCATTTCTAACATATTCCCAGGTGACGTTGATGCTGCTGTCTCAGGGACCCCCCACTTTGAGAACAACTGTTGGGGGTTAAATGGACCCACCTAAATCCAGACCTGATTTCCCCTCCTCCCTAACTTATCCAGGCTCAGGCATGGGAAATAAGGGCTGATCTCACACAGAGGCAGAAAACAAACCACAGTAAGAATCATACTAATTTTTTCCAAATGCCTCAAGCTTTGGCACATGTCTGCGATCTCATGTGAGTCTCATAGTAACTCTGTGAGTTAAGCGGAAAATGGACACCCCCCCCCCCCCATGTTATATTATTTTTCTCCCATTGTAAAGAGGAGGAGGTTCGGAGAACTGACTGGGCTATTGTCTTGCGGGGAGGTTATTTGGGGGAGACTGGGGCTAGCACCTCAGCTTGGGACACATCGCTGCAAACGTTCTGGACATCTCTGTGCCTTTCCCCAAATACCTTCCCATCTCCAGGCTAAGACCAGAATTTCCTGCTTAAAAATATTTTTCTTTATAAATAAACTCTTGTAAAAAGTATTTTTCTTTATCTCAAGTCTTTGCCAATTGTATCAGAGAGGATAAATGATTTATACCCGAGTGTAAATATGATTTTCAGATATTTTCTTGAGAAGAGGGTGATTAAAATTCTCCCCTCTTGAAGGAAGGCCATGCCTGGCTGTAGATTCCTGTTGGAATGAATGAATGAATGAATGAGCGAACTATGTTAATCTCCTTGCCCATTTTTAAAAATTTCTTTCTGTTTTTTCTTTTGTGTATGTGCATGTTTCCCAGTTTGTTTGTTTTTCCATTTCTTCTTTTGTTTGTTTGTTTTTACTGATTTTTAGAGAGAGAGAGGGAGAGAGGGAAAGAGAGAAACATCAATGTAAGTGCAGAAAATCATTCAGCTGCCTCCTGCACACCTCCTACGGGGCTCGAGCCCAGAATCTTTCAGGGCACGGGAGGACGCCCAACCAGACGAACCACATTGGCTGGGGCTTCTTGCCCATTCTTCCCAGAGCAAGCCTCTCCTCTAGCAGTCCTGCCCTTACTCCCAGTGCTCCCTATGCTGCCTCCCAGTTCAGTCAGTCTCTTCGTTTCTTATCTTCCTGTCCAGTCCTAGAGTCAAGCATCATAGCTTCAGGGAAGTCTTCCCTGCTCTTCCTAAGCAGGCCCGGCTCTGCTTCTCGTGGGCTCCCTGGTACCTCATCACACTGTTTTACCCGTACCTGTTTACTTGGCTCTTTCTCACCCCTTAGATCACATGTGTCAAACACAAGGCCCGCGGGCCAAATCCGTCCCGCCAGGCCTTGCAATGTGGCCCGCACCGCGCTGTCATCACTGCACTCCGCTGTGTTTCCATCACAATGACAGTTTATGACTGTTCAGTAAACCATTCGGCCCGCGATTTAGGCTGGATTTTAGATTTTGGCCCCTTCTCTGATTGAGTTCGACACCCCTACCTTAGATAGTGATGTCCTGAGAGCTGAGGTTGTGTCTCTTACACAGGGTATGAATGCATAGCAGGCACTCAGTAACTAGTTGAATGAATGAATGAATGATGAATAGCTGTGTGAAGATCAGTAGGGACAGAAATGGTATCTTTCTGGGAAGCTATTTCCTGATTTATGTCTGACAAAGCTATCAAGGGACAATTTGTGGGTGATTATGGAGACACACCACCTGTACAGTGATAGGATATTCAACGTAACAGGAGCTGGAAAGTTACCTTCTGCCTTTCGGTGGCTGCATGAGTCTCATGCTTCTTTCTACATACCTGCTTTGTTCTTTTTTCTTTGCACGTGGTGGGCAAGGTTTCCCAGCTTAAGCACTTTTGATCAGTTAGCTAGCTTCCCAGAGCCCAATTCCAGATTCCTTGGAGAGAGAATTGAATGGGCCTACTTTGGTTCAAGTGTCCACCCTGGTCCAGTCAATTTTAGAACAAACAAGGCAGCAAGGGTTCGCCTCGAGAGAGGAGGAAGGCAGTTTTCAGAGAATGGGTATCGTGGGATGGAAAGACTCTCCAAAAGGCACCTAGAGCATGGACTTAGTAGACCTCTCGAACCCGTGCCCAGGGCTTTGCAAACTGTCATTCACTGAGGTAAACAGTTCTGAGCATCTTCTATATACTTGGCACACAGATCTACCTTCTAGACCAAGTGTGTCAAACTCGAGGCCCGCAGGCTGCGTGCCTCATTTATTTGGCCCGTTTTAGCCTTTGAGTTTGACATGCTTGTTTAGAGGGTTTTCTAAATCTCTTTGGAATTTGTTCACACCTTCACCTTGTACTGTCTTTTGGAGTGAAGTCATCGCTCCTAACGTTGACCACCTCTGAGCTTTGCCTTTTCAAGTTTCAAGGTGGGGATCAAGGGCTTTGGTGGACACGTGTCTCCCCATCCGGGTCTTTGGGAACTATAAAAATGTCACGTCCTCTCCTCTCCCCTTGGTCTCCCAGTAAAAAGAGTCTTAGTTCTTCAGCTGATTCAAAAATGGCCCAATCTCCCTCAGTCCTCGACTTTCTTTCTTCAATCTTGTAATGGGCTTCCACTGGCCCCGAACATGAAAGGATCTCAAGTTCATACTCAGGGAGAAGACCATTAGGTTTCTAATCCATAGAGGAAACATATCCAGGATTTGATGGGCATTTTTATCACCAGCAGCAGCTGCTGATAACGATCACAGGTTCTTTTTCTTTTTAATATATTTTATTGATTTTTTTTTTTTTTTTTTTACAGAGAGGGATAGATAGTTAGAAACATCAATGAGAATCATCAATCAGCTGCCTCTTGCACACCCCCTACTGGGGATGTGCCCACAATCAAGATACATGCCCTTGACCGGAATCGAACCTGGGACCTTTCGGTCCTCAGGCCGATGCTCTATCCACTGAGGCAAACCAGTTTTGACCGATCATAGGTTCTATTCGTTGAGGACACACTTTGCTTAATTCATTATAAACCCTTCAGGTGCATCGTCTCCTACAAAATAATCCTCACACCAACCCTGAGAGGTAGGCAGACACAGTTTCCTCTCTTTTACAGATCGATGATCAGGAGCTCAGAGACAATAGGCAACTTGCCCAAGGTCACACAGCATCTGGGCAGTGGAGCTGGGCTTCAGAACCACACCCCCTCCCTCCAGGGGCTTCCCACGCGCCAGGAGCCCCCGAGCACACGCCCCGGGGCCTCTAAGCTCTGCCCCAGGCATGCCCTCTGCGAGCACTGTTTACAGTCCTTGCAGACACCATTCCAACGTGTTTGCCAGCTCTTGTCACCTTGCAGTAACTCTCTGGAGATGAGACTCTGATCCCATTTAGTCTCTGGGCAAAACAGGCGGGGCTGGGGCCGGGGCGGGGCCGTGGGTGGCGCGCTGTCAGGGGGCCTCCCTGGAAGCCCAGCCTCGCTGCCTGCCCACTGTTTGACTCTGGGCACGGCCTTCCCCTCTCTTGGCCTCAGATTCCTAATCTGTGTTTCTGGGTCACATTCCAGCGTAACTATGTATTTCATGAGGGTTTCATGAGGTTGGCAGCCTCCACACCCCACGGAAAGAGGGGTGGTTTCCATATGGGGTGAGCTCACCCAGAGCATGGGCGGCCGGCTCCTTACCATATCTGCCGGCCTCCCCAGTCCGCTGTTTGTCCTCCAGCCCTGGACGTAGAGGTGGCCTGATGTCGTCCCACCAGTTCTCTCCAGTGGGGTGTTGAGTGTGTTCCCTCTGACTTCACTGCCTATCCATGGTGTCCTGCCTCTGCCTCCTCGTCCTTACATGGCTGCTTATTGAGCCAGGGATTTTGGGAACAAGCATTCCTCCACCTTGTCTTTTTTAAAAAACATATTTTTATTGATTTCAGAGAGGAAGGGAGAGGGAAGAGAGATAGAAACATCCATGATGAGAGAGGATCATTGATTGGCTGCCTCCTGCATGCCCCCTTCTGGGTATCGAGCTCGAAACCTGAGCATGTGCCCTTGATCGGAATCGAACACGGGACCCTTCAGTCCACAGGCCAGTGCTCTATCCACTGACCCAAACACGCCAGGGCCCCCATCATGTCTTTCGAGAATGTCGAGATGTCCACGTTCTCTCTCTGGTCCTTTGCTAAACATTTTGTACAAATCCATAAGATCATTAATTCCCTCAGCGGCTCCTCGAGTCCACAGTATCATCCCTACTTTGCAGACCAGGCATCCAAGGCTCAGAGAAGATAACAGATTTGTCTAGGATGGCACACCGGTTAGTGCCAGAGCTGAGAGTCAAGCCAGGCCTGGCATATCCCACTGCACTACACCTCTCGGGATCGTGATGTTCACTCAGCTGCATTGGGATCGGGGAGAATCTGCGGTCCTCCGGGAGTGAGGGACTGGTCCATGGCTTTCTGGGTAGAATAGGGTGATCTGTTTATGTTGGTGGAGGTTGTAACGGAGAAAACTATTTTTCCCCCTCTTAATATATTTTTATTGATTTCAGAAAGGAAGGGAGAGGGAGAGAGAGATAGGAATATCAATGATGAAAGAGGATCATTGATCGGCTGCCTCCTGCACGTCCCCTACTGGGGATGGAGCCCACAACCCAGGCATGTGCTCTGACCGGGAATCTAACGGTGATCTCTTGGTGCATAGGTCAAACCACTTAGCCACACCGGCCGGGCTGGAAACTCTAGATGTGTGTTTGGAGGGTGGGATCATGGAGTCACCCCTGCCTTCGCCCCCAAGCTGGGCATGCCTGAACCTCTGTCCACATTTGCTTCCAGATGCTGGAGGGAGACCAGGCCATCCTGCAGAGAATAAAGAAGGCCGTGCGAGCCATCCACAGCTCTGGTCTCGGTGAGTGAGCCGCTCGATGCCCGGCCTGGCCAGGCAGCCCCTGCCCCAGCTCCAGCCCGGAGCTAACCCTGAGCTCCCTTTCCCTGTCTCCACAGGCCACGTGGAGAACGAGGAGCACTACCGTGAGGCCGTGGAGTCCTTGGGCAACAGCCACCTGTCCCAAAACAGCCACGAGCTGTCCACCGGCTTCCTGAACTTGGCCGTGTTCACCCGCGAGGTGGCCGCGCTCTTCAAGAACCTGGTGAGGCCCCTGGTCCCTCCTCAGCAGCCCCCAGCCCGGGCTCAGGGCGCACCCCGTGGGAGGAAGAACCTGGCCAGGAGAGGGCTGGCTTCCCCCCTTCTCCCAGGTTGCCGTTGACCTCTGGTCTCCCTTCCCTCTGACCCATGATCGGAGATTCCTTTCCAGTTCTGACCTGCCTTTGCATTCTTCGTCCTCTCTGACGTCTCACCCCCATCTTCTCTCTTTGTCTCTCTCCCTTCCTCTCTCTCTGCCCTCCTCTACGTCTTCTGTGGGGACTGCCCCGGAGCGGAGGGGGTGTCACAGCGGGGACAGGCTGCCTGGAGGAGGCTGGAGAGAAGGGAGGGCACACTCTGGGGTTCCTGTTTGTGCCCCCGCCAATCCTCAACCCTCTGTGTCCTCCGCTTTCCCAACCTCAAAGCCTGGGCCCTGCCTTGTCTCCACAAACCTCTCAGCCCTGCAGGGGGCCCAGTGGCCTCAGGTTGCTGCCTCCTCCCCCCTGTCCTCACTCCCTGCCTCGAGGCCACCGAGGTCCACGCTCTTCCCTGCGGATGGCAGATTATCCGTAACTTACGTGTTCACTCATTAATCCCGGAGGCAGCTCGGTGGTGGCGGTTGTACTCTTGTCCCCAATTCACAGGCCAGGAAACCAAGACGTGAGGCAAGCCATGGCCTGAGGTCAGACAGCTGGATCTGAACCGAGGTTGTCTGGCCCCAGCATCTGACCGCAGGCCTGGCTCTGCCCTTCCCCGGAAGGCCCCTCGCCCTCCAGGCTTCCTCGGACCGGCTCTCTCGGCCGGAGTCCCACCAGTGCCCTCCAGGGCCTGCAGGGCCACATCCCCAAGAAGCACTTAGCGGTTAAGTTCCTGGATCTGGGGCTTAGACTGGGGCCTCGGATCCCTGCTCTGCTGCTCACTGGGTGTGTGTGTGACCCTGGGTGAGTCACTCAACTGGCCTGAGCCCCAGGTGTCTCTTCTGTAAAACGGGGATAGTGATGGCACCCACCCCACAGCGCTGTAATGGGGGTCATGCGAGTAGGGGCTCAGTAAGGGTTAGCGACGATTGCCATCGGTCAGTATAGCTCTCTGCACAGCCTTGCCTCGAACTCTGGCCTACACACAGAGGCCTCTCACGGTGTTAAGAGTTGAGCCGAATTAGTGACCTGCTTTGTCGCTACCTCTCTTTCCCTTCTGCCACTCATGCTGATGTGTGCTGCGGGTCTGCCCCGTGGTAGGCATTGTACCAGGAGTTGGTAACAAAGGAGAGAGAGTCAGGCTCTGCCTCAGAGAGCCACAGTCTGTGGGGGAGACAGGAACTGACAGGTGGGCTGATACCAAGCAATGCCAGCGTGGCACAAACTCAAGGATCCCGCAGGTTGGTCTGAGTAGTGCTGCCGTGGTTCAGAAAAGGAGAGGCCGGCAGAGGCCGCAGGCAGGAGTGATCAGGAAGGCTTCCTGGAGGAGGGGGGCCTGGGCTGTGCCTTGAAAGGTGGGCTGAAATATGAGACAGGCCGTTGAGGTTGCCAAGTAACAGAAAGTCCACCCAAACTAGGTTAATTTTTAAAAGGGGAGCTTATTGGCCCTTGTAATGGAAAGTCCGGGAGAGGTACTGGTGTTAGGCTCCTCCTTTCTCTTTGATGGTTTCTTCATCTCTGTTCAGGTCAGATCTTATTGGGAGAAAGATCGCATCTTCCTCTAGGCTTTCTCCCATGGCAGGACCGTCCCCAGGAAGGATCTGATTGGCTGGCTTGGGTCACATGCCTGTTCCTGATCCAACCACTGTGGCCCAAAGATGGGGGACTCTCTGGTCAGCTCTGACTCCTCTGTTCTCCCCCAGGTGACCACAGGGGAGTCTGGGGCTTAGACTGGGGCCTCGAATCCCTGCTCTGCTGCTCACTAGGTGTGTGGCCCTGGGTGAGTCACTCAGTCCGCCTGAGCCCCTGACCACGACGGGAGGACTTCAGAGAGTCAGAGAGGGGAGGGACCGGACGGTGCTCCCAGCAAAAGGACGGAGATGGGACTGATGGTGGACGTTCCTGAGGCAGTGAGGTGCTGAGGCCGCCTTTAACGGCTACAGCTTTTATGGGGAGCCGACTGCAACCCCCCTTCTACCTCCCCATCTTTGCATCTTTCTTTCCTCTGCTTCTTTGACCCCCAGTGAGGTCCTTTGCCTCTTGATGCTTCCCTGAACTCAAGCCCATTGGGGCTGGACAGAGGGTCACCCAAGGTCTCTGCTTTTTCCAGGTCCAGAACATGAACAACATTGTCTCTTTCCCGCTGGACAGTCTGTTGAAGGGGCACCTGAGGGATGGGCGACAGGTGAGTCTCCGTGAGGAGAGGAGGCAGGGGACCCGGAGGTGGTGAGATGCAGCAGGACAGGGGTGGGCAGGGGACCGTAGGGGAGGCCAAGCAAGGCGGTCACAGTAGCAGTGCTGACTCCATATTGCTGGTCCTTGGGGGACAGGAGGACCTGGCTCTGGGGTTCGCCCGGGGTGGCTGGCCTACTGCCTGCAGGGCCCTACGTGAAATAGCTCATGGGATTCTTACCGCCTTAGGAGGTGGGCTCTGTAGGTACCATCATCCCCCTTTTGCAGTTGAGAAAACCCGGGCCCAGTTTACACAGAGAGTCCGTGGAGGAGCCGGTATGGGACCCGGACTCCCGGCGCCCATGCTCGGCTGCTTCTCGGCACCTGGCAGCTCCTGGCTTGAGGTGACAGTCACCTCCCTGGAAAGGCTGCCCTGGAAGGTCCAGGGCAGGAGCTGTCCTCCCCCCAGAGGCTTCCCTCCCTGCCCCAGGCTGGACTCCAGATTGGGAACCTCCCAAACCAGACGGGCGGCTTTTCACCTGGCGGGCTGGGCGCCGGAAGTCAGGGCTGTTCTGCGGGTGTGAGCCGCTGGCCCAGGCAAACTAGGCCAGGGAGCAGCGGGGCCTGGCCGGCTTGCTGTGTGACGTTGGGTAGGAGGCCAGAGGGGACTCTTTTCAGCTTCTCCGTGTTTCTGTTCTTATACCAAATACCAGGATGACCTAGTACCAGGCAGGAGAGGATGGCGGGGGAAAGTTGGGGGCTGTGGGGTGTCTGACCTCCATCCTCCCCATCCTTATCCTCATGGTGATCTCTGTCATTTGGGGGCAGACCCCCCAAATCTCCCCACAGCCCGGGCCTGGGCCCCCCAAACCCAACTGACCCTCGGCAGCTGCGGGACAAGGTGGGGTGGGAGAAGGCTCAGCCCTGAGCAAGAGGATCCGTGTCTGTGGCGGGGGCGGAGGGGAACGGGCTTACAGTCGGGCTTTGGGGGCAGGGGCTGGTCGGAGCATGGCTCCAGCACACAGAGGAGCGCAGCAGTGCAGGGTTCCCCTGTAGGAAGCCAAGTGTCTTATTGATGCCTCACCCCAGTGCCCTTTGGGCAGATGGTTCTTTTTAAACCACAGGATTCCAAACTGGTTTTTTTTAAACCACAGGATTCCAAGAAACACCTGGAGAAGGCATGGAAGGACTATGAAGCCAAAATGTAAGTGGCTGCGGCCAGGCGGTGTGTCCCCGAGGGTGACCCTTCTGTGGCCACAGGAGGCTGGATCGGGAAGGACCTACCGCGGCCGGGACAGGCCACCCGGGAGCACACGGCACCCTGCTCTCTGGCGGCGTTTACGGGAGGCGGGGGTGGCTGGGGTGGGGGTGGGTTATGAGCAGACCTAACTGTAGCCTGGGGGGTGAACCTCAGACCGCCAAGGGGGGCTCTTGTGAAGGGACCTCAGAGCGCTGCTCTTAAGAGACCCGGCTGCTCGGTGGTGCCCCGGGTGCAGAGACAGAGAGGGGCTGCCGTGTACTGAGCACCTCCCTGTGCTGGCCCTTCAACCCTCACCATCCCCCAGCCCTGGGAGGGGGATATCAGTATCCCAATGAACAGAAAAGGAATTGGAGGCTCAGAGAGGTTAAGTCACTTTCCCAAGGCCACACAGCTAGGCAGAGCTTGGGTTCATGCTCCCTGATCCTTTTTCTGCAACACCACGTGATGTCTATAAGCAGTTCATTGGAAGAGAGGAGGGAAGGACGTTGAAGACATACCCTGGCCTCTGTGACATCGTGGGGGCAGAAGGAGCCTCGAGGCAGAGTGGAGCTCCCAGGTGATAGAAGGTCATGGTTCGATTCCAGGTCAGGGCACATGCCGGCAGCACAGGAATTTTATCATCTGGTTTCTACATGGTGGAGCATCTGTCTCGGAACCAGGAGGTCATGGTTCGATTCCCGGTCAGGGCACATGACTGGGTTGCAGACTAGATCCCCAGTAGGAGGCATGCAGGAGGCAGCCGATCAATGATTCCCTCTCATCATTGATGTTTCTATCTCTCTGTCCCACTCCCTTCCTCTTTGAAATCAATAAAAAAAAATATTAAAAAAAAAAAAAAAAAAGGAGTGGGGGAAAGAGGAATTACCAAAAACCAGGAGGAAAATCTTTAATTTCCAAGGCTAAAGTACTAACATCTTTCTATTTTTCTATATATAAAGAGATATCTTTATAAAACTGAGATAATAGTCATACTGATTTGTGACCTTTTTCGTGCTTAAAGGTGCATCTCTCTACATCGTTACACATTCTTATACAACGTCACCAAATGGTACACGGTGTGCCACCATCTGCATAACCCACAAGGCATTTCACACACACACACACACACACACACACACACACACACACACACCCGTCATTAGGGAAGCATCCTTGGAACGAAATCTTTGTTCCCGCCCCTAATTATTTCTGTAGGTTCAATTCCAAGCAGTAGATTCTGGAGCTTTATTGTTCCAGCCCCCAGAGCCATGGAGAGGGACCTCCCCACGTCTGAATGAAGGTCATGACCGCTCCCTCCACTAGCATTCCGTTCACACTGCGCTGTGGGTGTAGATCCTGTGGTGTGGGCGCCATGATGGGTGTGGCCACCTGCTCTCATTAGCGGTGTGGAGACAGACTGTGTTTCTCCTTATAATTTGATGTGGGTGACATGGCCTTCCTGAGTTGCCTTGACGAGTCCTTATCCTTTCGGGGCATTGTCTACCAGATGGGAAGAATGGACCTGCTCTTACCAGGTTTATATACGGAGCTCGCCTATAAGGTTACGTTGAAAGGAAAGATTCTGTGTAACTGATGGCGGAAGGGGCTTGGCTGAGATTATTTAGCGAGTTGTCAATAGGGCCTGGTCTAGAACCCAACGCTTCTTAGTTTAGTGTTCTTCCTGCCACCTAGCTTACATAGGTTGAGCTACATGTCCTGGCACAGGTATCTGTGTGTGTGTATGTGTGTGTGTGAGTTTATTGATTTTTAGAGAGAGAAAAAGGGACAGGGATAGAGAGATAGAAACATTGATGACAGAGAAACATCAGCGATTAGCTGTCTCGTGCACACCCCCCACTGGAGATCGAGCCTGCAACCTGGGTATGTGCCCGGACCAGGAATCAAACCTGGGACCCTTCGGTCCTCAAGCTGACGCTTTATCCATTGAGCCAAAATAGCTAGGGCCCACCTCATTCTTGCAAACCAGTCTTGGCAGCAGCTGGCAGGGCCCGGGGTCCTGATAGCCTTCGTGTGGAACCACCAGCAGTCCCATCCCTGGGGTGCTCCTGTGGAAGGAGGGGTCCCCCCTCCAGCTGGGGCCGCTGAGAAAGGCACCCCAGGTCCTGTGCAGGGGCCACGTTTGTCTGGGCCGTTCCACGGGCAGGACCGTCTGTACAATGGGCCCTGACCACGATCTATCAAAAAGGACGCTGTGACCGTCCCCAGCTGGGGGAAGGCAAGAAGGAGGGATTGGACAAGTCTGAGCACAGGGATGGGTACCAGCGCCATCCCCAGGGCTCTAGCGCCGGATAGACCTGGGTTCAAATCCTGCTCTGCCACTTAGCTGTGACTTATCATCTCGGGCCCCTCATCTGTAAAATGGGGATTGCTTACCTGCTTAAAAATAATAATTAGTGGTGATAGCAGCTGGTACTTATACTTAAGAGCTGCCTGTGCACCAGACACGGATGAACCCTTTACATCTGTTATCAGATGTATGGCCCTTGGCAGGGAGAGGTGCTGCTCTGATCCCCAATCTATAGGTAAGCAGTGAGGGAGAAAACCACCACAGTGCCCGCCGTGGTGGATCCCCCTACGTTTTATAAGCAAGAAGAGCGGTGGCTCAGTAAACAGTGAAGCACGGAGTGACAGTAAATAATCAGCACAGAGGAGGCAGAAAAGGCAGGTGGTTCTGCTTGGGCGGAGGGAAGGGTGGTTGGAACAGGCATCACAGGAGAGGTCAGGCAGGTGGGTGCATGATCCGTTTTGATCTCCATCTTCCTCCTCCATGACCTCCTTCCTCCCCCCAGTATCTGTTCCCCATTTCCTGAATGGTATTGCTGTCCTCCCCTTCTCCAGTTACCCCGGTCTTCCTAGTAACTAGCAATTCAGCACTTTTCTTTTTTTTTAGAGAGAGAGAGTGGAAGGGAGGGAGAGACACAGAGAGAAAGAGAGAGAAACATCCATGTGAGAGAGCCCCATCCAGGGCCAGGGATCGAGCCTGCAACCAAGGCACTTGCCCTTGACCGCAGTCGAGCCCAGGACCCCCTGTCCGCAGGACCGATGCTCTGTTCTCAGAGCCAAACCGGCGAGGACACAGTTCAACGCTTTTTGCTCACGAGTTCTTTTTACTCCTCTGCTGCCACTCCATTCGAGGGAAAGAAGAACCATCCTAACATGTGAAATGTTTACAAACATTGGTGACCCTTGGAGGACAGGGGAGGACTGGGAGTTGTTATTTTGTGGATGGGTGGGGGTGGCGGAATAAAAAGCACTCCCCCGCTATCAGTATGAGGTGTCTCAGGTCATATTAGTCAGACTTTGTAGGGTAAACCTCTGTAAACTCCCAGAGCTGACACTGAGGGACAGAGCCATGGTATTTCACTAAGTCGTGTATAATACTTTACGGCTTATCTTCATTCTAAGCTAACTAACTCTGTCCTTTAATCTCCACTAGACCCTGTATTTAGAATATCAAATAAATAACTAAAGAAGTACCCTATACTAAAAAGATTATCACCAATAGTTCTTATTTAGTCACTAGTATCATTATCATCATCATAATACTGCCAGTTATTGAAGGTTTACCCTATGCCAGGGACTATACTAAATGTTTCTCATGTAATCATATCACCTGAGCACTAGGCAGTATTAGTCTCATTTAAAAATATATATGTTTTTATTGATTTTAGAGAGAGAGGAAGGGAGAGGGATAGAGAGATGGAAACGTCGATGAGAGAGAGACATCGATCCTGCATGCCCCACACTGGGAATCAATCCTGAAACCTAGGCATGTGCCCTGACCAGGAATCGAACCAGGAACCTCTTGGTTCATGGGTCAGTGCCCAACCACTGAACCACATCGGCCAGGCTAGACTCACTTTTGAGATGGAGAAACTGAACCTTAGAAGGATTTGTGGAGGCTAAGGAAGTGAGGGAGCTGCCATTCAGATCCAGAGTCCACATTTCTAACCACTGAACTACATGGTGGCTTCCTTTCTGTCATTTACTCTGCAGCAGACATCTTTCCAGGCCACCCTCTATGGAGCCTCCGCCTCCTTTGCAGGAGCTGCATGGTATTCCCAGAGGGACAGAGCGTAACTGAGTTAACCCCTCCCCACTGATAGGCGGTCAGCTTATTTTTCATTTTTCACTTGAAACGTGTAAGAACAGAGTGCCCCTGCCTCTCCCAGCTGCTCTGCCCACTCAGTCTCCCGCCCCCTTAGCAAGACCCCGGCTCATCGTTACTAACACTGCAGGCCCGGCCGTTGCCTCTCTTCGTACTGCTCATCCCCAGATCCAAAAAGAAGCAAAGCCCTGATCAGCGCTTACCCCCAACGCCACCACCCTGCCACAAACTCCCACTTGGAATGAAAAACAGCCACTTGTGAGGAAATTAAATAAAAATTCAAAAGCCTGCATAACCCCACTCTAGAGCCGTGGTTCTCGCCCAGGGGTGTTTTTGCACCCCCCTCCCCCTTTTATCCCCAGGAGACATTTCTGGTTGTTACAACTGGGTAGATTTGCATCGAGTGGGGAGAAGTCATGGGTGCTGCTAAGCATCCTATATCCACAGGACACGCCCCCCCTACACACACACACACACACACACACACACACTGCAACAAAGAATTATAGGATCAAAATGTCTTTAGTTCTGAGGTTGAGAAAGGTCTCCATGTACAGATTCTGCATATAAACACTGTCCCAGAGGTCTCACCTCAGTAAGGCCTGAAGCTTCAGTGCCAGAAGGGACGGGTCCAGGCCATTGCTCCCTCCCTTTACAGATGGGAAACAGGCCTAGAGGGGCCTATACATAGTCTTCCATGTACTAAGTCTTTTGCATACTTGATCTCATCTGGGTCCAGATAAGGGTCCCCATTTTCCAGGTGAGAAGACTGAGTCGAGAAGGAAATAATGCAGCTCGTAATGTAGCCCATGGCTGACTTCTCTGCTTAGGGCTGGCACCCACTTGGGATGTCTCCTTTATGCAGGTTTCATGGTCACGTGTGGCCAGCCTCCGATATGGAAATACTCTCCTGGCTGGGGCGGGGGTATGATGGGTGTAGCATCTGCACACAGTCCCCCCATCCCCAAAGGGGAGGGGACACAGACAACCCTTAAGATCTGCAGGGAGAAGGCCCAGTTACTTTCAATTACAGGGATGGGAAGCACTTTCTGTCTTCACTTACAAAGAAAAGAACAAAGGTTTTCTAAGCTTTAAAAGGGAAGCTCCAACCCACTGGGTACTACATCCCTTCCAGCAAAGTCAGCAGTGGACACCCCAATCCCGCCTGGCCCTCATCTGAGCTCCTCACCTCCCTGCATAAAAATAAAAACCCCTACGTCCTTCCCATTGCTCGTGGGAGAAAGACCCAGAGCCTCGGCAGGGTCTGAATCAGGCTCTGCATGGTCTGGCCCCTCTAGCTCACGTGGAACCACCTCCCTCTCCATCTGGGCTCCTGATCCCTGCTGCCTCCGGCCGTCACATGCTCTGGTCCTCCTACCCAGCCCCAGATCTCTCCAAAGCAACTTCTCAGACTTCAGATCCCAGCTCACACATCAATTCCTGAGCAGCCGGAAAAGGTCGAGTCCCCCATTTTACTCTCCCGGCTGTGCTTTGACTCATGTCTTTCTCCCCCACGGCCTTGTTCACTGCTGTCACGCAGGAGGGCCCCTCACTCTCCTGTGCCCGTGCCAGAGAGGAGGGCGTAGGGATGGCGGAGTGTGAAAGGGGCCAAGATGTTCAGGCCTGTCTTTCCTTGGGGCCTAGGGCCAGGCTGGAGAAGGACAGGGACCGGGCCAGAGGGACAGGGGGAAGCCACGGGGAGGTGGCCCAGGACACGCAGAGGGAGCGACGCCTCTTCCAGCTGCACATGTGCGAGGTAACGGCTGCTCCAGAGGAGGGAGGGTGGGACGTGTCCTCCCGTCTGCCTCTCCTGCACCTCCCGGGGCCCCGGGCGCAGGCTCACCTCGGGCCCCGGTCGGATGGCCCTTGAGATGCCACCAAGCTTTAGTCATGGCCGAGAGGATCAGCCTGGGAGGGGGACTGCAGGCCCTTGTCCCAAGGATCCAGCTTCTGCTCACGTGGCACCTCTTGCCCTGCCCTCCCCCAGTATCTGCTGAAAGCCGGGGAGAGCCAGATGAAGCAAGGCCCCGACTTCCTGCAGAGCCTCATCAAGTTCTTCCATGCCCAGCACAAGTAGGTTTCTCCCCGTGGCCCCAGCCCTAGCCCCATGTTCCTCGCCCCCGTCAGGCAACAGAGAGCAAGGCCCAGGCCCAGGGTCTGGCAGACCCCCAAGGACTTGGCTCACTTGATCTCACTCAATCCCTTAACGCCCTTGTGAGCAGGTGTTGTTATTATCCCCATTTTACAGATGTGAAAACTGAGTCTCAGATTTACTAAGCTAGTAAACTGGGATCTGGACCCAGACATTCTTACTCCAGGGCCTGTTTTGTTGACCATCAGACTACTAGTGTACTGCCCGGTCATCCTTGGAGCACCTTCTCCCACACTTCGTGTTTCACCTCTCATTTTCCTTTCTCTCTGGCGCCTTGTTTGGCCTCGCACCTCTTAGCTTTTTCCAAGATGGCTGGAAGGCCGCGCAGAGCCTGTCCCCCTTCATCGAGAAGCTGGCGGCCTCGGTACACGCGGTAAGTCGGGCCTTACCCTTTGGCCTGTGGTCAAGCCCCCTGGCCTTCTGGGAGAACCTGGGTGTGGAAGGGCTGCCCCCCGCCCAGAGAGAGGCTCCTGCCCTGCTGGTCTGCACTCTGCACTGGCACAGCGGCTGGCTGATGGCGGGGTCCTGCCCTCCCCCCCAGCTGCGCCAAGCCCAGGAGGAGGAGCTGCAGAAGCTGACCCAGCTCCGGGACTCCCTCCGAGGGATGCTGCAGCTGGAGAACAGAGAGGTCAGCCCCTGGCTCACCCCGGAAGGAGTGCTTTCCCCCAAGGCACGCCATGTGGGCGGTGCGGGGAGAGGGAAGACTTCTCCGAGTCCCCTGAGTGCCCTTGCGGGAGACCCCTGCAGAGGGGGGCCCTTCCCACCCTGAGGTCTCCTCTCCTGCCTGGCGAGCAGGACCACATGAGCCGGAAGAACTCGGGAGGCGGCTACAGCATCCACCAGCACCAAGGCAACAAGCAGTTTGGGACGGAGAAGGTGGGCTTTCTGTACAAGAAGAGTGATGGGTAAGTGACTTGGAGAACTTATAAGTAGCCTGACCAAAGCCACACAGGCAGTAAATGTCAGGGTTGGAGTTACTGACCAAAGAGACTTTTATTTTTATTTTTTTATATTTTATTGATTTTTTTTTTTTTTTAGAGAGAGAAAGGGAGAGGCATTGAGTTAGAAATATCGGTGAGAGAGAAACATCCATCAGCTGCCTCCTGCATACCTCCTACTGGAGTACATGCCCTTGCCCTGAATCAGAACTGGGACCCTTCAGTCCGCAGGCCTATGCTCTCTCCACTGAGCCAAACCAGTCAGGGCCAAAGGGACTTTCCTGATCATTTGAGGGTTCTTGGACCCTCCACTGTGGCAATGCAAAACCATCACAGTCCTGGGCAATTGAGCTTCTAAAAGCCCCTGGTTCTTAACTTGAAGCATAGCAGCGGCGAACACTGCTGAGCACTTAGGCCCCGGAGTCTCCATGCCTCACTCAGCCTCTGCAGTAGACGGAATGCGCCTGGGAATCAGTGTTGTCTGTGCCTTCCTCCCTGCGTCACAAAGCAGCGGGGAAATGCCAAGGCCCTTAGGGGAAGTGTCCATGTACCTACTTCCTTTGTAACAGTTAATCACCTTTATTTATTTGTTTATTCGTTTTTGTTTGTTTGTTTTTGTTAATCCTCACCCGAGGATATTTTTCCATTGATTTTTAGAGAGAATGGAAGAGAGAGGGAAAGTCAGAGAGAAACATCGATGTGAGAGAAGCACACCGATGGGTTGCCTCCTGCACGACCCCTGGAGTCTGTAACCAAGGTACATGCCCTTGACCGGAATCAAACCCGGGACCCTTTAATCCACAGGCTGATGCTGTATCCGCTGAGCCAAACCATCCAGGGCCGTGATACTACTTTCGAATCAGTTTTTATCAGAGAAGAATAACTCTGTTAAACCAATTAATATTTACGGAAGTGTGAAGTAGCCTTGGAGCAGGGATTTGCTAATTGTATTTTTAGCATCTCACTGTTCGAGGTGCTTTGTATTTAACCATAACTGAGCTGCTGTGGTCAAGAGCCTGTCCCTCCTCTCAGATAAGGTTGGGAGCTGTGTCTCCTCCATCGGAGTAGAAGCTCTCAGAGGGTCAAGGTCACGTGCCGCCTTTGGGATAAGGATTCCCAGAGAGCAAGGCTGCTTCCCCCATCAGACTGGGAGCTTCTTGTGGACAGAACTGCGTCTCCTCCTTCAGGAGGCCTGGGCCAGGACCCTGTTTTTCTGCGACAGGGGGCTTAGGGGTGAGCCTCGGGTCACGGTCTCTCTGTCCCTCTGGGTCCTAGAATCCGAAGAGTCTGGCAGAAAAGGAAGTGTGGAGTCAAGTATGGCTGCCTGACCATCTCACACAGCATGGTGAGGCCGGGCGGGGTGGCGGCCCAGAGCACCACGGGTCCTCTCTCCGCTCGGTGTTCTGAGCAGACAAGTGTCCAGCCCTCCCCTCTGAGACCCGGACCCAGGTCCCGGGAGGCCCCCTGTGTGTGGAGGGAAGGATGGGACCCGCAGCTCCCAGCCTGGTGCTGACCCACACACTCCACACCCTGGAGGAGCTGGGAGAGGGGACACACACCCAGGAGCAGGATGGCGCCCATTTAACAGATTGAGAAATGGGGGCTGAGAGTTTGGGAGGCCCAGACGGTCACATGTACACCCTCCATCCCCCAACTTCCCACAGATAAACCGGCCCCCCGTGAAGCTGACCCTGCTGACCTGCCAAGTGAGGCCAAACCCCGAGGAGAAAAAGTGCTTTGACCTGGTGACCCGTGAGTAGTCCCGGCCCCTTCCCCACCACTGCCCAAGGCTTCTCTGAGAGGCCTGTCAGCCGCCAGGAGGCTGAGCCAGGCGCCTGCGTCCAGTTCCACAGGTTTACCAAACAGCCACTCCCGCAGGCAGAGACTCCTTAGGCCCCGGACACTCTGTGAAGCACATTCGCATGGGTTTGGAGGCGTAGATTTTGGAATTATTATTCCTTTGGGGCCAGGCTTTCTCGGGGCAGGCGTAGGCTGAGCAAAGCCCAGTCTCATCCTTAGGGAGCCCTCTCTGGCAGGGGTGTGACTGTAGGAAGAGGGGGAGTGCCCAGAAGAGGGGAGCAGATACAGCACTGCCCAAGATGAAAGAGAGGAAGGCCTGCCTGCTCTGGGCAATCAGGGAGGCTGCTTGGAGGAGGCAGCCCTTGACAGTAGCCTTGAAGGACTCAGGAGGTAGAGTTCGGGGAGGGCATTTCAGGGGACGGGATTGGCGCGAGGAAAAACATAAAAGCAGGAGCGTGGGTTCTGCCAGTGTGGCCAGAGGGTGGGGTTCACAAAGGAGTCGTAGGAGATGAGGCCTAGGAATGCCTCTCAAAGGTTTGGATCTTGTTTCCTGGCAGGAGGGAGCCGAGGCGGGTCTTGGAGCAGGGGAGGGGAGTGGTTAGAGCAGAACCTTAGGCAACAACAGTCTGGCAGTTGGTACTGGCCTGAGGGGGCGCGTGGAAGAGGTGGAGAGCAGGGAGACCAGACAGGGGGCTGTGGGGACAGTTGGGGTGGTGGCAGTGGGTTCAGAGGAGACTGCCTCTGAGCTGCGTAGGGTCCTGTGCCCTCCAGTACCTCCTATGACCAGGAACCCCAGCTGCACAGGGAAAACCTTGTTGGGATGCTCCTTTGTAGGTGACTTCTGAGAAACTGCGCCCTCTGCTGGCCGCTGCCATTCCCGCCCACCCCTAGCTGGGCAGAGCCTGGCTGCATGGGGACCAGAGCTCTGTCTGGATCCAGCGGTTTGGGTGGGGGCTCCCTGGGCCCAGGGAAGGCCAGACATGTCCCCCTCTCCCCTCCCAACAGACAACAGGACGTACCACTTCCAGGCGGAGGACGAGCATGAGTGTGAGGCGTGAGTGCTCCCCCACCACCCGGGGGGTGGGGTGGGGGGTGGGCAGGACCCCAGGCCAGGGGTGTCATCCCCCCCATGCATTCTCTGCAGGTGGGTGTCGGTGCTGCAGAACAGCAAGGACGAAGCCCTGAGCAGTGCCTTCCAAGGGGAGCCCAGCGGCCTCCTGGGGCCCTGGGGGGGCGCCGGGCTGGACGGGGAGCTCCAGGACCTCACCAAGCTGCTCATCGCGGAGGTGAAGAGCAGGCCCGGCAACGGCCAGTGCTGCGACTGCGGGGCTGCAGGTCCGGCAGCGGGGCCACCCCCAGGAGGGAGGTGGGAGGGGAGGGGAGGGGCCGCCCCTGCAGGAATGAGCTGCTCTCTTTGCAGACCCCACGTGGCTCAGCACCAACCTGGGCGTGCTCACCTGCATCCAGTGTTCCGGCGTCCACCGCGAGCTGGGCGTGCGCTTCTCGCGAATCCAGTCCCTCACCTTGGACCTGCTGTGCCCCTCGGAGCTGCTGGTGAGAGTGGATTCCGGGCGTGGGCACAGTGGCTCAGCTGGAGCTTGGGGGGTGGGTGACTGGGGTAGGAGGGGAGGGGAAGGTGACAGTCAGGATGGGCTCAGTCTTCCAGGGGTCACCATCCTAACCACCCCTCTTACTTTGCTGTGACACCAGCTGGCCTTGAACATCGGAAACACGCGCTTCAATGAAGTCATGGAGGCCCAGCTGCCCTCACACGGCGGCCCTAAACCCTCAGCGGACAGTGACATGTAAGGAGCCTCTCGGGTGGAAGACAGGCTGCCTGGGGATTCTGTTTCCCCAGCTCCCAAGGTCTCAGGCAGATCTTGGGCTGGAAGTCTGGGGACGGGGGAGCCTCAGGTCCGGGGGAGTCCGGGACAGGTTCTCGGAGATCTGTGTCTCCTGTGGGCAGGCTTTAGGGGTCAGCTGGGTGGACGGGGATAACTGAGGCCCCGCGTGTGGCTGTCTTTGGCAGGAGTGCCCGCAGGGACTACATCGTGGCCAAGTACGTGGAGCACAGGTTCGCCCGGCGGTCCACGCCTGAGCCTCAGAGGCTCTGGATGGCCATTTGCAACCAGGACCTCCTGTCCGTGCTGGAGGCCTTCGCGAACGGGCAGGACTTCGGGCAGCTGCTGCCAGGGCCTGAGGGCCAGGTGAGGACCCCCTCCAAGGACCACTCAGAACCCACCCGCGCTTACATATGCCCCAGGCCCAGCTATCACGCCCCTCTGCCCACCTCTGACATCTGCTCAAACCACACCATCAGAGGGGTAGAAAGGAAAGAGCATGCGTTCAGTCAAGCAGACCCGAGCCAGAATGCTGGCTCTGTCTTTCCCTGGCTGTGTGGTCCAGAGCGGGTTGCTTAACTTCTCTGAGATAAAGATGAGAAAAGGATAGCACCCACGTTGAAATGAGAATTGTCATGTGCATGAAGGGCCTACTGCATAATACGTGTGCAATAACTTGTTAGTATCTTTTTTTTCTTTTTTTAATATATTTTAATTGATTTTTTTACAGAGAGAAAGGGAGAGAGATAGAGAGTTAGAAACATCAACGAGAGAAACATCCATCAGCTGCCTCCTGCACACCTCCTGCTGGGGATGTGCTTGCAACCAAGGTACATGCCCTTGACCAGAATCGAACCTGGGACCTTTCAGTCTGCAGGCTGACGCTCTATCCACTGAGCCAAACTGGTTTCAGCTCTTTTTTTTTTCTTTTTTCTTTTTCTTGAAAACCTTTAGAAATGGATAAAAGTGGGTCATATTAGAGCAGGGAAGGCCGTTGTATGGCATTTCCAGTAACCAACATCATATGAACTGGGGAGTCGGGGGAGAATATCAGAGACATTGGAAAGATTAAATCAACAGGAGTTGGTGAACATCAGAAATCGGATGGCATATCTGTGAGCAGTCTGATACCTCTGTGGGCTGTCCAGCGGGCAGGAAAGTGCCACATTCGGGGAGATAAGCCTGGAACAGCCTCCCTAAGTGATAGCTGGAAGCACGAGGTTCGCTGAGGTCCTGGTGGCAGTGAGAGGAGCAAAGAGGGGAGTCCAAGGCCAAGAACCGAGTTAGGGAAACGTCTTCTATTGGTGGCAAGAGGAGCCAGAGCCACTGAAGGAAGAGATGTCACCTCCTCTCAAACACGTTGTCCACTCAGTCTCATATCTGGAGGATTCAAGAGGGCAATATTGGGGTGGGGGCAGGTGAACCGGGAAAACTCAGAGGGCTGGGTGTGTATTCAGGCACCTGGAGAGCTCGCCCTGCACTTGGCTGTCAGAGTCGCCAACCAGGCCTCGCTGCCCCTGGTGGATTTCATCATCCAGAATGGGTGAGAACCCCCCTGCCTGTCTGTGCGTGTCCTCACACCGCCCCCTGGCCTTGTTCTCCCCCCTCTGCTCCCTCCTCTCCTCCCCCTCTTTTCCCCTCTGATATTGACCCCTCACCTGTCTGTTCCCCTTCCTTCCTCTCTGACCGTCCTCCCCAGCGGTCACCTGGATGCCAAGGCTGCTGATGGGAACAGTGCCCTGCACTACGCTGCTCTCTACAACCAACCTGACTGCCTCAAGCTGCTGCTGAAAGGGAGAGCTTCTGTTGGCCCAGGTGGGGCTCAGACACCTCCTCCATCAGACTCCCCCTCAGACTCCCCCTTGTGTGGGATCCCCTTGCCTTTTTCCCAGACAGAGAGCACTGGCTATGAGCACGGACTTCACAATCCGACTTGGCTTGCCTCTGACCATCTGTGTGACTGTGGGGTTTGTCCATTCAGTTCTTGAGCCTCAGTTTCCTCATCTGTAAAATGGGAATAATACCACTGACCTGGTAGGCCTGCTAAGAAGGTAAAATAAAATATTGTTTCTGAAAGTACCTAACCAAACAGATATGAGCTGCGCCTGAATTATAGTGATTTTAATGGCCACCATTTGCTGCTTACCATGTGCCTGACAATGTGCCAAATGCTCTACACATATTAACTCATCTAATTTTCACAACACCTGGTCAGTATCACACTCATTTCATAGATGAGAAAATTAAGGCCCAAGGTCACTCAGCCAGGAGGTGGCAGAGCCAGGATTCAAACTCAGGCAGTTTGATTCCAGTGGCCCATCTTAACCTCTAAGCCACATGTGTCAAACACAAGGCCCGCGGGCCAAATCCGTCCCGCCAGGCCTTGCAATGTGGCCCGCACCGCGCTGTCATCACTGCACTCCGCTGCGTTTCCATCACAATGACAGTTTATGACTGTTCAGTAAACCATTCGGCCCGCGATTTAGGCTGGATTTTAGATTTTGGCCCCTTCTCTGATTGAGTTCGACACCCCTACTCTAAGCTATCAGGCGACTTTGACCCTGTCTAAGACTCCTGACTTGACCCCTCACAGTGAACGAGGAAGGAGAAACAGCTCTGGACATAGCCAGGAAGAAGCAGCACAAGGAGTGTGAGGAGCTGGTAAGGCTTCGGGAAGGAGGGGTGCCCTGGCCTTCTCTCTCTTCTGAGCCCGGACCCTCTGAATGGCCACGGCTCTGTTTTGGCAGCTGGAACAGGCCAAGGCGGGAACCCTGGCCTTCCCCCTGCATGTGCACTACTCCTGGGGAATCTCCGCAGAGCACGACTCTGACAGCGAGGAGGAGGAGGAAGAGAAGGTGGGTCCCAGCCCCTGCCTCTCAGACCTTCAAAACCTGATTGGACCTCGTGTGGGGAGGGGAGGGGGAAACCGGAGAAACCTGGCCGTCCTCCCTCCAACCCTTCTGTCCCAGCAGCACTGTCCCCTGAAGCCCCCGGCCCAGACCCACTGGGCCAGTGGGAGGATGGACATCAGCAACAAGACCTACGAGACTGTCACCAACCTGGGGTCAGCTGCCCCTCAGAGCCAGAGTGAGGACTGCCCCCCACCCTTACCCGTCAAAAACCCTTCTCGGACCGTGGTCCAAGGCCGTGCGGGACATGCCAGTGGAGGTATGGTTGGCTGCCCAGAGAAATGCTCTTTGTGCCATTCATTGAGGGCCTACTGTGTGCATATGTTAGTTCATATCCTTCTCACCATCATCTGGTAGTTTGGGGTTATCATCTCCCCCTTATAAGCACAGGAACAGAGATGTTCAGTCACCTACCCAAGATCCCACAGCTGAGTCCCTTGAGTGGTATTCAAACCTATGTCTGTTTTATTCCATTTCTGTCAATGTGTCACTTACATAAAAACAGAGAGACGCATTTATTGAGCGTCCACTATGTCTTGAGGCCTTTGGGGGCTCCTGAGACACAGTCCAGTGGGGGAGAGAATAAACGAATGCAGTCTCTTATGATATAAGGCCCAATGTGATGGGGACTGTAAATCCTGAGGGGATGAGGACGTGGAGTGTTTTGCTGACTGCTGTTTCTCCAGCACCTGGCACGGTGCCTGGCTGTTCTCAAGAAATGTGTGTTAATTGAAGGGACAGCTCCTTCTGGGAGCTCAGGGAGGGAGGGGGTATGTCCTGTTGGGACTGGCGGGTGGCTTAGGAAGGCTTCCTGGTGGGGATGGCCTCTGAGCTGAGCCCGAGGGATGAGCAGGAGAGCCCAGACCGAGGAGAAGGTGTAAACAGAGGCAAAACCGTGTATCGTTGTGGCCTGGCGGTTGTGAATGGATGCTGGGGCTGAAGAAGACCGCAGCATGATGGGGAAGAGGTGAAGGACGGTGCCGGAGAGATAGATGGGAAGTGGAGAAGGGGGAGATTCTGGAGGCCAAAGGCTACTTTGAAATGGAGCGGAATAAGAGATAAACACAGGCTGTATCCCTTCTGATTCCAGATCATTCCGAAGTCCCCAGCCTCGGCTCAGAGGCTCCTGGGGCTCCCGAGAGCCAGAACAGTCCAACGTCCTCCTCCTCTAGCCTTACAAGTCCCGTGGAACTTGGGGGTGCTAACCAAATCCCACCCAGCTCCGAAGAGGCTCTCTTGGAGTCCCCAGGCACCTCCCGACCCAGCCTGACATCTGGAAACACACCCCCCGTCCGATTCAGGTTAGTGAGAGCCCAGCTGTGCAACCCAGGCAAGTGTCCTGACCTCTCTGAGCTTCCGTTTATTTCCCCAACTATAAACTGTGTCTGCCTGAAGGCTGGGATACCTCCCAGCTCTGAGGCCCATGGCTCACGCAGAAATGCTAGAGCTTAAATGGAGGGTCATTGGACCTCTTTCCCCTTCACACACCTGCTCCTGGGATGTTGATTAAGAATCTGGGACGTAGACGGCTGAAGCTGGAGTGGAGGAGGTGGGAACCTGTGAGGCTTGTTCCAGAGGCTGTCCGTGGGGCATCCTTCTGTCCCTACCTTCACTCCAGGATCCGGTCCTCTCCCTTACAAACTCTTCCAGTTTGGAGCTTGGGGGGCAGCCAGAGCTCTCTAGAGGCCAGGGGCCTCGTGGACTCTAAGCCCCACACCTGGGCCCTTTCTCTACTCGGGGGGGCTCCCTGGGCACGGGGGTCACATCGGCCTCTCCCTGCCTTCCAGCTCCGAGAGCACCCGTTCCTACCGGCGCGGGGCATCAGAACCCGGAAGACTGTCCCTCAGCCAGGCAGCCTCCACCCAGAAGGAACATGCCGGTAGGTGGGCGCTCGGGACTGTGGTTTGAGGGCGATGGCAGAGTGCCTAGGAGGCAGACTTGGTCAGGAGCAGGTGTATGGGGGTGGGACACCTCTCCCCAGGATCGGGGAGCACAGTTTGGCCATTCCCTGTCCTGGAGCTTCGCCTTCCCCGCTGCAGCCCAGGATGGGTGAAGCTGGGAGCACCCAGGCCTTGAGGGAGGGCAGAGGTGATGAGGCCCACGCTCCGGCTGCTGCAGGAGAGGATGAGCAAAGCTATGTCAGCCAGGCCGGTTGCTTCCCTGCAGTTGCAAGATTAGGGTGTCTGTGCACCAGGCCTCGGGTTCCCTGGCTCTCCCCGTGTACGGGAGTCTCCTGGAATCTCCCAAGACTGGTGGCTCCCTGGCATCGAGGATGTGCATCTATCCTGTTTCCCCGAAAATAAGACAGTGTCTTATATTAATTTTTGCTCCCAAAGATGCTCTAGGTCTTATTTTCAGGGGATGCCTTATTTTTCCATGAAGAAGAATACGGTACACATTTATTGTTAAATGAAAATAAAGGAAATTTATTACCTGTATACGGTACGGTAGTACGGTAGTTGTCAACACAAACCAGACAAACTGTGAATCCTACAGTATCAAGAATTTACTCATTTATTCAATGACAATCACGTCATCATCTTCTGGAACATCATCATAACAATCCAATTCCTGAATTTCCTGGTGAATTTCTTGTGACTCCATTTCTTTCAGAATCAGTGGACCAAATCTCTCATGTTTAACCTGGGGGAGAAGGGCCTTATTTTCGGGGGGATGCCTTATATTTCACTCAGAAGAAAACCTGTAAGAAGGTCTTATTTTCGGAGGATGTCTTATTTTCGGGGAAACACGGTATTTAGTTGCGGGACCTGGGAGAGGCATAGGACAGAGCCAGTCGTTTGCAAAGGAAGACTCCTCTCTTCCGTGCTCCCCTGGAAAGTCCTCAGGGATGTGTTGGTTTCTGTGCTGGGAGTGGAGGAAGGCAGGGGCAGGGGCTGGGTGTCTCTGGGGAATTGTCATCCTCAGTCCTTCCAAGTCAGGCACCAGATACCAGTCTGTGTCCACAGCCAGGTGTCCATCCCTCAGCCTGGTGCTGATGCCTGTTGTTGAAGCATGTATGAACCTAAGAGCCCCAGCTTTAGGGTGAGGAGACTTGGGCAAGTGGACTTGCTTCTTCAAGCCTCAGCTTCATCGTCTGTAAAATGGGGATACTTTCATCTACCCCCATATTATGACATAATTGCATCAGCATAAGACGTTTGTGTAACTGAGTGAGACAAACAGCTGGCATATAATAAGTGCTTTAAAAATGTCGATTTTCGTCCTTCTCTCCCCAGGTTGGCTTCACTGAAGGAGAAGGCTCAAGAACTGGGGTTCTCCCAGCAAGTTCTGTGCTGCTTTTGCAAGACTAGCTCCTTGCTGGCCCTTGCATGCCTGAACCACCCTCCTGCTGGACCCCAGCGTTCAGAGCTAGGACTTGAGGGCACAAGACTAAGGAGCTGAGGTGTTCACTTCCTTGGGTCATGCTGTCTCTGTCTCAGTGGCCCTATGGCTGGCCTTCATCCCTGCCATGGGCCCATGCCCCTGCCAAGGATGCTGGGCCCTTCCATGTTAGGGCTTGGTGGTGGTTCTTTCCCCTCCATCTCATTGCTTCCCAGGGTGAGGGAGCCCTTTGGCTGGATCTGAGTGCTCCCAGCTACTTCAGCTGCAGAACCCTCAGTCCCTCATCGGACCAGGACTATTTCTTCCGTCATTCTGAGGCTCCACAAGAGTAGGACCAGGCTGCCTTCATCATTCTCCAGACCAGGGATTCTGCCAGACTAGGGACCATCTCCTCATCCTTTCATTAGTATTTCTTCACTGAGTTCTGGCTCTTGTCTAGATCTGTACTAGATACTACAGATGCCACGTGACTAAGACAAGGGTCCTGCAGATGTGGTCCCTTGCTGGGAAGCCGGTCCCAAGGGTTGAGCTTGGGAATGGGCCGGGGCAGATGGTTCTGGCTTGAGGGGCAGACTGACAATCAGCTGTGTGACTTCGCAGTTGCCTACAGCCCATCCATTCTGGTTGGTCATGTCCATGCCGTACTTTCAGTTACGTAGCCTGATTATCATTCCTTTCGAGGGATAGCACAGCCTTCTGGGGATCCTCTACTACATCCCCAGCCAAGAAGCAGCCTGCCCGCTCTCCTTGACTTAGCAGGAAAGGAAGGGATGGTCCCAGATGATGGGTCCTCACTTCTCTCCTCTTTTTCTTTTTTAATATATTTTATTGATTTTGTTCAGAGAGGAAGTGAGAGAGATAGAGAGTTAGAAACATCGATGAGAGAGAGTCATCGATCAGCTGCCTCTTGCACACCCCCTACTGGGGATATGCTCGCAACTAAGGTACATGCCCTTGACCGGAATCGAACCCGGGTCCCTTCAGTCCCCAAGCCGACGCTCTATCCATTGAGCCAAACCAGTCTCGGCGTCTCCTCTTTTTCTTGGTCAACTCAGGAGCCTTCCCGTCTCAGGGAAGGAAAGGGTCACCAAAGGAGAAAGACAGAAATGGGAGGGCAGAGACTTAGCGGTCTGCTTCCCAGAGCCAGAAATTCCACCCTGATGCCCAGCCCCGTATTAGCAAACACCTAAGCCATCACCGGTCTCTAACACCTCAGCTTTACAGTCGCCGATGAGCCAGGCCAAACAGGGGAGGCCAGAGGGTGCCAGTGGCCAACACAGCAGCCTGGCCTGGAGGCTGGGCTGTGTCCCCTGGCGATCTGGCTGCTCTGTGATCCACAGGAACAAAGTCACCTGCTGAGCCCCCAGTGTCTGGTTTTGTTCATCTCTGACTTCATCTCTGAATTGTTCTTTCACTCATCTATAATAAAAGATTTTTTTTAGTAAACCCCTGGTGGTTTTATTTATGTGATCTGGCGATCAAGAGGAAAGGAGAGGGAATCTTAGGACTTGAAATTCTTTCTTTGGGCCCCATAAGGCAGACAGCCTGGTGTAGAGCAGTGGTTCGCAACTTGGGCTGATTTTGCCCCAAGAGGGATGCAGAGATTTTTGTATTGCTCCCAATGGGATGGTGCTACTGGCATCTGGTGGCTAGGGGTCAGGGATGCTGCTAAACATGCTGCAATCCACAGGCCTTCCCCTCACAGCAAGGACTTATCCAGCCCAAAGTGTGAACAGGGCCGTGGCTGAGAAATCTGGTGTGGAGGAAAGAGCACTGGACCAGGAGTGAGGAGACCTGGTTTAGCTCTGCCCAGTTCTTGTCTCAATTCGATTTCCCCTGAGACGGGTATTTGGGGGCAAGTAGTTTACTTGTGAGGTGACATCAGGAAGCATAACGAGGGAGCAGAGAAATGAAACAGAAAGAAGGTCAAGAAGCAAAAAAGGGTGTGTCAATGAAGGGCTATCACTGTATCTAGGCTTACTTATTGGGGAACCTTTGAGAGGCCATATAGATTAGAACATGCCTTCACGTTGTTCCGCTGAGTGAAGAAATCAGTGTTTTTACCACAAACTCTGGTCTCTTATTGGTTGGGTAGGTCCTTACTAGAGGTGTTAATTCCCAAGCTCTTCCCGTCTGCCCCACACCCTCATTCAGGGAGAAGTGGGAAGACGTCTGAGTGCGTGCAGGAATTGCCTGCAGGGAGGACAGGTAGGCAGAAGGAATATGATGGTACCTACAGTGCCTGAAATGGTTGAACAAGGCAAGCCTGGGCCTCAGTCTTCCCATCAGTACCATGAAGGGGTTGGACTCATTCCCTAAGAGTCTTCTGAGCCCTGATGATGTAAGAGACTTGACTTTTTGTTGTTGCCATACTCAGAGTGAGAACTGATGGAAATTTGAGGAAAATGAAACTTGTTTGTTTTTGTTATCAAATGATCTTTAATTAAAATATTTCCTTTGTGATTCTTAAGTAGCTGGACATTCTGCTGCACTACTGTTGATGCCCTAAGGGTGGCAGCATTGCAGCCCACAGACTAGGCAGGCCCCAGGCTCTCTTAATGGTTCCAGAGAGTTCTCTAGCTAAAGATAGGTGACACATCTGTTGGGCAGTGTTGACGATCTCATCAAAAGTGATATTCCCACTGTGCTTGATGTTTCTTTTGCTTCTTTCTGTCTCTTGGAGATTCTCTGAGGGCTTTGATGATTCGGGCAGAGGCAGAACGTGCTACCGCAGTATGGGCCTCTGTTCTGAATGGTCAATTTCACTATAATCCTAAGACCTTTCCAAACACCAGTTGCTTTGGCCAGGTCATCACTGGAGGCGTTCATGGCATCTGGTGGCTGGAGTCAGGGATGCTGCTAAACATGCTATAATACACAGGCTATCCCCTCACAGAAAAAAGGAAGGAAGGAAGGAAGGAAGGAAGGATGGAAGGAAGGAAGGAAGGAAGGAAGGAAGGAAGGAAGGAAGGAAGGAAGGAAGGGAGGAAGGGAGAGAGAGAGAAAGAAAGAAAGAAAGGAAGGAAAGAAGGAAGGAAGAAAGACAGAAAGGAGGAAAGAAAGAAAGGGAGAGAGAGAAAGAAAGAAAGGAAGAGAGAGAAAGAAAAAGAAAGAAGAAAGACTCAGAAATAGAAGCAAGCTGGGAACTAGGTGGGAAGCCCTTCTCTCTGATGGAGAGGCAGGGGACCCTGAGCCCACACAGTGCATTTATTTTATACCCCCAAATACCAAGAAGTATTACCAAAACTTAGGCTCAAATGAGCTTATTTGCATTCTTGAGTCGGACCGAGCATTCCTGATGCTTGACTCGATTTACATATCTAGACCCACTACACCTGGGCTGATATGAAGGCCAAGCTGATAACACTTTCCATCTCCTTGGGGAATGTGTATCTGAGAGGCGGATCTGCCAACTGACAACAATGAAAGAAATGCCATGTTCTACCACTTGTGAGGTGATAGCAGAAAGCACAAGGAGGGAGCAGGGAAATGAAACAGAAAGAAGGTCAAGAAGCAAACCGGGTGTGTCAATGAAGGGCTATCAAGACTGCTCTTGGAGATTCTCCTTTTTTGGAGACAGACCCCAGATGCCAGGGAAGATGTGGCATCACTTCCCCACCCGGGTGTGGTGGAGGCAACTGGTGTCAGATGAGCTCATTGGGGAAAGTTTCACCTGAGTCTTCTCCAAGCTGAGGCCCGAAAGCAGATTTGTTTGTTCACTTTTTAAAGGCAATCCTAAGTAACTGCTGGCAGCTGTCCCTTCACCCTAGCGGGGCTTGCTTGGGGCTTGGCCAAGAGACCTCCCCAGATCCCAAACCATTGGTCTAACCTTCTAGAAGTAGCCTACAACGCTTTGCATGGTCAGGCCCCAACCACATCTCTGATTTTCTGTCTCATTTCTCTCTACACTCCTCTCACCTCTGTGGTGTAGCCACGCCAATTTTTCAGTTCCTGCAACCCTGGCACACCAAGTGCCCTACCATCCCTAAGCTTTGCACATTTGAAACTCCAGGAGGACCGCTTTGTTCCTCTCTGAATGCCCAGGGCTAGAACTGCCTGGCACATAGTAGGTGCCTGGTGAGTGAGTGAATGTTTCTTCTCTCAGGTGAACACTCTCTTCCTCCTGCCTCCAACTCCCACTCTGCCCTTCTGCTCCAAAATTAAATGTTGTTTCTTCAGAGGAGATGACACACCCCTCCCTCCAATGTGTCCTTAAGGGATCCTCCCCTTCGTGCCGCCCCTCACCCCAGCTGTGGTAACACAGAATGGGCTCTGTCCTTATTTACTGAAGGGGTCTCTTGCCCACAGACCCAATCTCAAGCCTGCTGGGACCGGGTCTGCCTTGGTCATTGCCTGAACGCTCAGTACATTTGTTGAATGAATGAAAACCTCACCCCTTCCTGCCTCTGTCCCGGGACACACAGCTGCAGTTAGAAGCTACAGGAGCCCACACCACACGGCCTCTGTGCTGGGGCTGGGGTGGGGTTCTCTACGGCTCTACCAGGAGGGTCTGGAGATTTCACCGAACATCCCAAACCACAGCTCCCCACCCTGTACACACTGTGGACCACTTTTCACGCCTCCCCTCCAGGTCCCTAAGCACCGCCCGCTCTGCCCCAAGATAATTTCTCACTTGTTTAGGTAGAGACGTGGATCTGCCAGGGACCCTTGGAAACACAGGGGCGTGCCCACTATGGCGACACAATTCTGTTGTCTCCTCTGCACCAAGATGCCCCTTCCAGACTCCATCCCTTCGGGGAGGCGGCGCCCTGACCCTGAATGGTGGGCGCCCCTGCACCTGGGTTGGTATTTCTCAGTTTGTGCACCTAGGAATCTCCCAGGTGCTCCCTCCTCCGCGCAGGCCTGGGGCCGGCTCCAGGACCTTGTTAGAAATGCAAACTCCCAACCTTACAAACAAATAGCCGGAACCGGGGGGCTGGGTTCGCGCGCGCTCAGGATGTGAGCAGCACAGCAGGGTCGGCGGAGCTGGCTTCCACGGTCACGCCCTACAGTGTGATCTGAGTGCACCCAGCCGCCTCCACGTGGGCACAGGCGCGGGGCTGGGTTCGCGCCCTGCACGGTAACGGGGCAGACAGCGGGCCCTGAGCTCCCGCCGCAGCTCCAGCTCCGGGCGCACCGGCGCCCTTCTCCCCTCGACGGCCCTTCCTTTGCGTCCCCGGACGCCGGCCTCCTCCCCAAACCCCGCTTCTGCATCCCGACCCCAGGGCCTCCTCCCCACACCTCCCTCTGCACCCCGACCCCAGGCCTGGGAGGGCGGGAGGGAGCGCCCGCTCCCGCAGCCTCGGCCCGCCCGGGAGGCCCGCCTGGCCGCGCGGGCAATCTGTGCCCGGACGAGTCCTTGAAATCTATATTTAGCGCAGCCACCCCTCCCCCCGCGGAGGCCTGCGGGGGGGGGGGGACGGGCGGAGGGGGACCCGCCCCCCAGACGTGTGTGCAGCGTGTGCGCGTCCCGCGGGCTGCACGCCTCCTCCCCGCGCTCCCGCCCCGAGGCCCCGCTGCCCCGCGCCCCGCACCCCTCGCCCCTCGCCCCCGGGCGTCGCGGGCGCCATGGGCCGGGAAGAGGAGCTGCGAAGGACGGCCAGGAAGCTGGAGAAGATGGTAGCCAGGAAGCGCACGGTGAGGCTGCAGAGTTTGGGCCGCGGCGTCCGTCCCGCCCCGGGAGGCGCGGCCCGGAGCGCCCGGAGCCCGGGGGAGGACGCGCGCTGGCGGGGCGCCGGGAGCTGGGCGCAGCAGCCCTGAGCACCTCCGGGGGGGCGTGCGTGCGGCTCGGGGGGCCCGGGGTGGGCATCGTTCGGCCCCGAAGGCCAGGCTGGTGCGTGGACCTCTGAGCTCGTAGGGTCCGGGGCCCCGGGGTGGCTGATGAGGGTCCTGGGACGCGAGGGAAGAGCTGGGGACGTGGAGAAGGACCTCCCGAGGCCCGGGACGGCACCGGGGGCGAGGCCAGGGCCGTGGAGGCGACGGCGGGGCGAGGGGGACACAATCCTGGGGGCCCCCAAAAGTGTCAAGAAGGAAACTTGAACTCTCGGTGCAGAGCCGAACCCCGCACCCCGCACCCCGCACCCCGCACCCCGCGTGGTTCTGTGGGGAGGAGGGAAGGGCCACGGGTCCCACGATCGCACAGTTTCGGGCGCCAGGAGCGGTTCTGTTTGCAATGCTCCCTCCCCTTGGCCGCTGGACGGGGCCGCGCCGGAGGGGGCCGAACAGGTGCGGGGCGGCAGCAGCCCTGGAGGGGGGGGGGGGGGGGCTGGCGGCCGGGCTGTGCGGCTCCCGGCGGTGGAGGGGAGTCCGGCGGGGCTGGCGGCACTACCTGCGGGTCCGGGGCGCACAGAGCGCTAGCCCCAACCCTAGCTCTAACACTAACCCTGACCCTAGCCCTAACCCTCGCCCTAACCCTCGCCCTAGCCGCCGAGGTGGAGTTAATGTTTGATCCTCCGGTGATCTTTGCCTCCGGCTGCGCCGCGGGACTGTCCGTCTGGCCAGAGCAAACTTGGCCTTCGTTCCGGGAGGATCTGGGCACACCCAGGGAGGACCGGCGTGGAGGGGGGCCTGCGGGCACGCTCCCCGCCCCTCGGCCCCCATCCCGCCCCGCCCCAGGGCCTCCCTCTCCCCACTGTCCACAGCCTGGTGCTGGAGCAGGACTCTGTGACCCTAGGAACTTGGGGGAAAGGGGGGGACCGTCTAAGAGGGTTTGAAGCAGAGCAGAGAGGCATCGCTGGAACGGGGAGTGTCAGGAAGCCCTGGAGTAGACAGGAGACAGGAGTGGTCCTGAGTTGCAGTTAGTATGAAGGCCAGAGCCTCCGAGTCTTCCTCGTGAGAGGAGCTGAGAATGCCTCCCTCCTGAGGAGGAGGCCGCCAGGTTTTGTCTTCTGGCTGTGGCGAGGGGGAAGAGGTCTGCAACCCCGACTAGGGCTTGGGACAGCGCCAGCTAGGAGTTAGAAAATTTGGCTCAATGGATAGAGCATAGGCCTGCGGACTGAAAGGTTCCAGGTTCGATTCTGGTCAAGAGCATGTACCTTGGTTGCGGGCACATCCCCGGTAGTGGGTGTGCAAGAGGCAGCTGATCGATGTTTCTCTCATCGATGTTTCTAATTCTCTATCCCTCTCTTCCTCTTTGTAAAAAAGTCAATAATTATATATATATATATATATATTTCTTTTTTTTTTTTTGAAAGAAAGAAAGAAAGAAAGAAAGAAAGAAAGAAAGAAAGAAAATGAGATCGGCTTCTGCACAGCCCATGAAGCAGAAACCTGCGTAGTCAGGGCAGCTCTCACCCTTACGTCTCAGCGTCCACCCACCCCCATTCCAGATCTTCCAAAGGCAGAAAAACAAACTGAGCTACAAGTGTGTGTGTGTGGACACACACACACACACACACACACACACACACACACACACTTTTCCAACTGGAGCAGCAGAGTCCAAACCCATCTTCTGAGCTAAACTCCACAGAAAGCAGACAGGTTACCCCAGCCCCGCTCCTCATTGACCCTGGCGTGGGCCAGGAGACTCTGGGCCTCTGCGGGAGAGGGGTGGAGGGGGTGGATGGGGTAGGAGACCGGAGGAAAGCAGCTTGGCTGTGAGGAGAGCTCTGGCTGAGAAGGAAGGGACTGGCCTGGCTTCCCCTTGCTCTTCGATGGCCACGGGCCCACCACCTCCCCTCTCGGGGCCTGGCTCTCCTCTGCAGCGGGAAGGGGAACGGCGTTCCTTGGAACGTGTTCCTGTGGAAGCATTCAGAACTCTGCCCAGGAAAGGTGCAGGCCTGGCCACAGGCTCCCCGTCACTCAGAGCCAGTCTGCAGCCACGTCTGAGCCTGGGCTTCGCCCAGCGTCTGAGTGGGCACGGAGCTCTGGGCATGTGATCAAGAAAGGTGGGGCTGCTCCAGGAGTGAAAACGGGCCACCAGGGGTGGTTAGGGAAAGGAGGACGCACTTCCTGAAATAAGACGGATCCTCCACGTTTCAACTCAGGCCCAGGGTGCACTGCCAATCACTGCAGTTTACGGCTTTCGTCAGACGGTGTCAGCGTGCACCCATTAAGACAGCTTCAACATGCACGCACTGAGTCACAGCTACACAATCACACACAACACTATAGCTACAACCACACAACAATACCTAAACAAGTGACTGTGAATGTAATTGCATATGAGACATGGTTACCCACCCTGATGTGACAGATACATGGACCATTATATTTACAGAAAGATACACAAAGACGGTTATACGGGTACACGTGGGCATGCAGACAATAAGCAAAACTACAGACATGCAAAACTTCCAATGTCTATGGCTTACACATTCAGACGTTACAGCCCAGGCATCATTTCACAAACGCGTTGCGCTTCAAGCTGCTTACCCACTAGCTCCACGCCTGGACCAGAGATATCACACGCCCTGTGCATGGGTGCAGAGAGACACACCTGGCAGTGCAATGTGACATACAGAGACAAATGTCCAGTGGTAAGATGGAACCGGCTTAACATTGGTGGTTGAGGTTTCAGGAATTTTGCAAGCCTATTGTTAAATTGAACCATCACTTAAAAAATTAAATTGGCCCTAACCGGTTTGGCTCAGTGGATAAAGCGTCGGCCTGCGGACTGTGGGGTCCCAGGTTCGATTCCAGTTAAGGGCATGTACCTCGATTGTGGACACATCCCCAGTGGGAGGTGTGCAGGAGGCAGCTGATCGGTGTTTCTCTCTCACTGATGTTTCTAACTCTCTATCCTTCTTCCTTCCTCTCTGTAAAAAAGTCAATAAAATAGAAAAAAATTAAATTGTAAGCTTACAAATAATAAATAATTTTTCAATAAATTATATTTAAAACAAAGGTAATAAATACTCCAAAATAACCATTTCCTAATTATTTTACCATCATCTATGGTCTAGAGGTTGTAACTTCTATTACATCGCCATGGTGGAAATGCTATCTAAGGGTGTTACTCGCCAATAGCTCCTTCAGTTCAATGACAGCGTGGTGGTAACTTGCGATTGGCCGTGGGAGGAGTGTTTACACAGAAATAGGCAAACAATACAAATCAGGGCCCTCCCACCCCCTTAAGACCTGGTTGTTAAATATTGACCAGCACACCATTGCACTTACCCACGTTGATATTGGACAATTGGACAAGTCTGGACAGATCTGTGTCCAGGCCTGCACTAATGTATAGTGGTTTGAGCCTCAAATGCCCGAGTTTGAATCCCGGCTCTGTTCCTTGTAACTTTAGGCAAATTATTTAACCTCTCTGTTTCTTGGATTCCTCTTCCATGAAAGTGGGATCGTCTATACTAGGGGTGTCGAACTCAATCAGAGAAAGGGCCAAAATCTAAAATCCAGCCTAAATCGCGGGCCGAATGGTTTACTGAACAGTCATAAACTGTCATTGTGATGGAAACGCAGCAGAGTGCAGTGATGACAGCGTGGTGCGGGCCACATTGCAAGGCCTGGCGGGACGGATTTGGCCCGCGGGCCTTGTGTTTGACACATGTGGTCTATACAAATGAAGATAGTACCTACCTCATAGGATCATTGAAAGAGTTAAGCAAGATAATTCATGCCGAAACTGGTTTGGCTCAGTGGATAGAGCGTCTGCCTACAGACTGAAAGGTCCCAGGTTCGATTCCGGTCAAGGGCATGTACCTTGGTTGCGAGCACATCCCCAGGAGGCAGCTGATCGATGTTTCTCTCTCATTGATGTTTCTAACTCTCTATCCTTATCCCATCCTCTCTGTAAAAAATCAATAAAATATATTTTTTTAAAAAGATAATTCATGTAAGACACATCAAACAGTGTCCACACACAATAAGCCTTTAATTAACGTTCCACACAGAGTTACATGCCAGAAGTTTAGATGCGCACACACCCACAGGCCACACCTCTGAATACATACCATGAACCCAACTGGGGACCGGCCACCCTTAGGACGTGGTCCAGGAAGCCTGGCAGCTGGTGCTCCCCAGGGAACCAAACTCAGGCCAGGAGGCCGGGGGTTGGCTTCTAGGAAGTGGCTGGGAAGAAGGAGAAAGCTGAAGTGGGTCAGGGGTGGGTCAGGGGCTGGCAGCCAGCAGATTTTCAAATTTCAGTCTCCTTTCTACTCCTCCCACTCTCCCCTCCCACCTTCTGCTTTCTGCTTGATTCATTCACGCAGGGAGTCAGGAGGAATGGAAGTGTATGTCCATCCAAAGACTTGTACGTGGGTGTTCCTAGCGGACTTGTTTGTAGTAGGCCCGAACTGGACGCTACCAAAAGTCACCAACGGGCGAATGCACAAGCAAATTGTGGTATGTGCATGCATTGGAAACAACCCAGCAGTGAAAAGGAGTGGTTGATAAACAGAGCAACATGGATACATCTCAAAATGATTACGCTAAGTGAAAGAAGCCAGGCAAAAAGGAGTCTATTACAGGACTCTTGATCTACAGGACTTAAAAGTGCAAGCCTGCCAAAACTGGTTTGGCTCAGTGGATAGAGCGTCAGCCTGCGGACTGAAGGGTTCCAGGTTTGATTCCGGTCAAGGGCATGTACCTTCGTTGTGGGCACGTCCCCGGTGGGGGGTGTGCAAGAGGCAGCTGATCGATGTTTCTCTCTCATTGATGTTTCTAACTCTCTATCCCTCTCTCTTTCTCTCTGTAAAAAATCAATAAAATATATTTAAAAAAAAAAAAAAAAAAGTGCAAGCTCATGCCCTGACCAGTTTGGCTCAGTGGATAGAGCGTTGGCCTGCGGACTCAGGGGTCCCAGGTTCAATTCTGGTCAAGGGCATGTGCCTTGGTTGTAGGCACATACCCAGTGGGGAGTATGCAGGAGACACCTGGTCAATGTTTCTCTCTCATCAATGTTTCTAACTCTCTATCCTTCTCCCTTTCTCTTTGTAAAAAATTAAGTATATATGTATATGTATGTATGTATGTGTGCGTATGTATATATATATATATATATATATATATATATATATATATACACACTTTTTTTTTTTTAATGCAAGCCCAGGCCTTGCTGATGTGGTGCAGTTTCTTGGATGCCATCTGGTGCACCAGGAAGTTGCTGGTTGGATTCCTGGTCAAGGGCTCATGCCCTGGTTATGGCTTCCATCCCCAGTAAGGGGTGTAGGGGAGGCAGTCAATCGATGTTTCCTTCCTCTCTCTCTAAAAATCAATAAACTATCATTTTTAAAAAATTATTTCATGGAGGAAGGGAGAGGAAGAGAGAGAGAAACACCAGAGCTGAGAGGGAATCATTGATTGGCTGCCTCCTGCATGATCCGCCCTGAAGGATCAAGCACACAATCCAGGAAGGTGCCCTGACCGAGAATCAAACTGTGACCTCCAGGTTCATAGGTCAATGCTCAACCACTGAACCAGGCCAGCTGAGCTAAACTATTCCTTTTTTAAAAAAATACAAGCCCATCTATCATGAGAGAAAGCAGAATAGTGGTGGCCTGGGTTATGGGATTGGGGGGAGCAAGGAGGGATGGATTACAAAGGGGAACTAGGAAACTTCGGGGAATGGTGGCTGTGTTCTTATCTTGATTGTGGCGATTGTTTCATGGATCAAAACTCATCAAGTTGTAGCCTGCAATATGTCCAGTTTATTGTATATCCATTATACCCTAATAGAGCTGTAAACACACACACACACACACACACACACACACACATCACACACACACACACACACAACCACCTCCCCCTGCAGAAGCTCACAGTAGGAAAGTGAGGAAAGGAAGATACTAAAGCAATAATAATAATAAGCTGCAAAGTAATTAAGGAAGAGATGGGAAGGGGAGAGCATACCCAGTAGAAAGAGCAGGAGAACCAGTGGCTTAGGGTCAGGGAAAGTGGTTAGGGCTTGAACCCAGCCTGGATGGTAAGGATGACGTAGAGAGCTGAACGGGGGCAGAATCTTTTCCTTCTCTCTCCTTCTTTCTGTCCCCTGCCTGTCCTCCAACTGCCTGTCTGCCTGTGTCCTGTACTGGAACAGTCTCTTCCCCGCCACCTCCCCTCCTCTTTCCTACCAAGACCAGATGGTCAGAGAGGGGCCTGGGCAGAACCCACAGCCTCAGCCCTCACCTTGTGGCCTCCCACAGGAAGGGGCCCTCGACCTTCTGAAGAAGCTGAACAGCTGTCAGATGTCCATCCAGCTACTCCAGGTGGGGTGGGGGTGGACAGCTCTGGGGGCAGTGCTGGGGGGGAGCTATCTATCTGGGGGGAAGACCTCGAAGGGTGGGGCCTGGGGACAATTTCTGAGTAGAGAGCTGGGGGATCTTGAGGTGCTCTGAGGTTGGGGACTGGGACATTTAGATGGGCACCAGAGACCTTCCAAGCACAGAGGGCCCTCCGGGTCTGGGAGAAAGACTGGTGTATTTTCCTTGAATACTCCAATTCCCAAGGCCCTGGGCTTGTGGCATACAAGAGGCTAATGATCCAGTGAAGAGACCCCCATTTTTTGACCCTCCCTGTGGCCCATAGAGCTCCCAAACATTACCCAATGCTCTTGACCCTGAAAAAAAAAAAAAAAATCAGCACAAGCGTTAGTAGCCAGGGTTAAATCTTAAGGTGAAACTTGATCTCAAAGATATGCCTCCACCACACCTGGAGACTGGGAATGGGGAGGGGTCCTCACCAGCCAGACCCACCACCACCACCACCACCACCACCACCACCACCACCATCACCACCTCAGCTTTTCACCAAAGTTATCCATTAGTGCAGGGGGCTGAGCCTGGGGCACTGGCCCTCACTAAGGATGGCAGGTCAGGGCCTCCGTCATGGGACCAGGGTTATCTCAGGCACAGGTCAGGTTGAGGGAAGAGGGTGTGTGAACGGGGGCAGGTCTTTTCAGTTAGGGCACTGAGTGTCCCTTCCCAGACCAGTCCCTAACTCTGTCGCTTTTCAGACAACCAGGATTGGCGTCGCCGTCAATGGGGTCCGGAAGTACTGCTCAGACAAAGAGGCGGTGTCCATGGCCAAAGTCCTCATCAAGAAATGGAAGCGGCTGCTGGGTGAGAGGGACTGTTTCCTCCCAGCCCCTGTGACAGGGCTGAGCGTGGCTCCGAGCAGGCACTCAGTGTGTGTTGGTTGAATGACTTCGTAAATGACAGACGGTCTCTCATGGGGAGGGCCAGGGTTTGTCTACCCAACTGTGAGATGTATAGATATGTAAGTTTTCACATACATGTGTGTATTTCATTTGCCTGTGTGTATGTACATGTCTATAGAGAGATATTTGTATAAACATGTGCATCGGTGTGTGTGTGTGTGCAGATGTCTTTCTGTCCCCATCTTGTGATTTGCACACATATGTGCATATTGTAGGTGCATCTGTGTATAAACGTGTGTGTGTGCTGGGGGAGTGTGCAGTTGTCCCTGACCCTGCCCTTTGCTCCTTCCTCTCCAAAGCTATGCTTTTTTTTTTTTTTTTTTCAGACTCCCCTAGCTCCCCGAAAGGGGGGAAAGGAGAGGAAAGAGAAAAAGCCAAGAAGAAAGAAAAAGAACTTGACTGCTCCAGTTGGAAGTCAGAGGCAGGCCTTTCTGCGCCAAGGACAAAACAAGAGGAGCCCAAAGCCAGGTATTTCTTTCCGGGACGGAGAGAAGGGGGCTGACACTTGTCGCGTCCTCTGTCAGCAGCTCCATTTATATATAACTTCACTTAATCCCCAGCGCGAGAGATGGCTGTTATTATTATCTCCTGCAGGCCCCCCTCCCAAGACCCAGATAGGCCGTCCCTGGCACTGGCTTCGTCTAGAAGGATGCAGGGGCAGGGAGTGCAGTGTTGTTGACACACTCAGGCCTTTTCTCATCAGCAAGAATTCTCATAGGGGACAGTACCGCGTCCACAGCTCTCCACCCAGGTAACACCCGGGTGCAAGGAAATGAGAGCACAATGGGTGGGAACTCCCTGACCTCCATGTCCTATACCTCAAACAGGTATTAGTCCTATAGACCAAACAGAGAATTACAGCAAGGGCACTGACCAGTTACAAAATCCACTCACTTGGGACAGCCAAGAAACTGATTTTCCACTAATTATTTATAGTTCATCCTTCCTGTGTAGACATCCTTTACCAATCAGGGCTCAGTGGGACTGGACGTCCAATCTAATTAGCATATTATGCTTTTATTATTATAGATTGGTTTGTGGGTTTATGTTACATTTAATTATTACTTTAAAAATATTTTTAAATTATGCCGGGACCGGTTTGGCTCAATGGATAGAGCGTCAGCTTGGGGATTGAAGGGTCCTGGGTTCGATTCCGGTGAAGGGCATGTACCTTGCTTGCGGGCATATCCCCAGTAGGGGGTGTGCAAGAGGCAGCTGATTGATGACTCTCTCTCATCGATGTTTCTAACTCTCTATCTCTCTCCCTTCCTCTCTGTACAAAATCAATAAAATATATTTAAAATATATATATATTTTTAAATTAATTTCAGAGAGAAGAAGGGAGGCGGGGAGAGAGAGAAATATCAAGGATGAGTGAGAATTATTGATCAGTTGCCTCCTGCACGACCCCTACTGGAGTTTGAACTTGAAACCTGGGCATGTGCCCTGACTTGGAATCAAACCATGATCTCCTGGTTCATGGGTTGATGCTCAACCACTGAAGCGATGTTGCCTACTAATGCAGCTGATGATCCACCTTTGTCAGGGTTGCAGGTAAACGGACTAGGAACTGACTTGCTCCTAGAAAAGAAGCATTTTGTTCGCTCTTTTATTCAAAGTTCCCATTTAGTGATGAGGAGGCTGAAGGCTGGGAAGCAGGGCTTTCCGATGATCGCACAGCCATTATGTGACAAAGTGGGATTCCAATCCTCGTCTGTCAGAACCCCAGAAGAATAGTACAGTCCGCAAAATTGTATGATTTCCAGAAAGGGCTCAAAAGCTATCCAACACAATAGATAAAAGCCTTCGTTAATGTATAAATAAGACCTACCTTTTTCATATGTGACAACACAGATTACTTAATCCCGTTGTGTGGAGGTCCTCTGTTGTTTATAATAGATAAGGGGTGGTACTAGCTAATACTGAGTAGTAGCTAATGGCACTAGATAATTCTACATAATCCGGACAATACTATCCATGATTTCTCAACATCTTTAATGTACAATACACACCTTTCTCCCAATATATCCACTATCAGGAAGTCATATTAAGAAATTAATCAAATTAAACATGAAGATGATAAGTTCTGTGCATAAAATTTTAAAAAAATATTTTAAATTATATTTTTATTGACTTCAGAGAGGAAGAGGGAGGGGGAGAAACATAGAACATCAATGATGAGAGAAAATCATTGATTGGCTGCCTCCTGCACACCCCACACTGGGGACCAAGCCCACAGTCTGGGCATGTGCCCTGACCGGGAATCGATTTGTGACCTCCAGGTTCATAGGTCGACACTGAGCCACACCGTTCAGTCTGTGTATAACATTTTTTTAGCTGGCATTTCTGAAACATCTTTCCTCTGAACGCTTTTGAAAATTTATTTATTTATTTTTAAACATATTTTATTGATTTTTTTACAGAGAGAAAGGGAGAGGGATAGAGAGAAACATCGATCAGCTGCCTCCTGCACACCTCCTACTGGGGATGTGCCCACAACCAAGGTACATGCCCTTAACTGGAATCGAGCCTGCCTTTGAGTCTGCAGGCCGACGCTCTATTCACTGAGTCAAACCAGCCAGGGCTTTTTTTTTTTTTTTTATGATGGTAAAGACTTTTCAGACATTTAATTTTTTTAAATCCTCACCTGAGGACATGCTCTCATTGATTTTAAAGAGAGAGAGAAATTGGTTGCTTTCTGCACATGTCCCAACCGGGGATCAAACCCACAACCTAGGGATGTGCCCTGGGACACATGCTCTCACCAACTGAGCCACACTAGCCAGGGCCCTCTGAACGCTTTTTAAATGAATGTTTATTATAATCCACTACTATAAGCCTTTCATGCAAAACACGTTAGGAAATGATGCTGTACGAGGAATGCTCCGTGACCAGGAGGGAGATAGCCTCTGCCACATCCCTCCCGCTCTTGGTTGTGAAAGTAACTGGGGCTGAGGGGATGCTGTAGGCTACTATCCCTGCAGCGCACAAGGGTGTCCCATGCGCTGCAGGACCCTTCATCGCGTTCAGAGTGCCCGTGGGCCCCCGCGGCAAAGCGCTGCAGGGAGAATATTGACTGGCGTGGGAATGTCCCGGAGTACTGAGAGGAGCTGTGCCCTGTATAGTACATAGAGCATGATCCCATTTTTATAGAAATTAAGTAAATGAATGTATGTACATGCACAGGAGAAAAGATGAGGAGGAAATGTGCCACGGTGGTAAATGGTGATTATTTCTAATAGATGAGGATTGAGGAGGTTTTGTTTTCTTATTTTGGCAAATTTCTGCCTAATTTTTTCCAATAAGTAATGTATTAATTTTGAAATAAGAAAAAAATAATGAAACTATTTTAAACATATGCATGTGATTATAATTAAGAGCTTCATATTCTATATATCATACAAGAAAAATTGTATATTTGTATTGTTGGCTTTTTATCCACAATGACTATATATATATATATTGTATATATATTCTCACCCTAGGATAGATATTTTATCCACTGATTTTCAGACAGTGGAAGGGAAGGAGAAAGTGAGGAGAGCGAGAGAGAGAGAGAGAGAGAGAGAGAGAGAGAAACGTTGATGTGAGAGCAAAACATCAATTGGCTGCCTCCTGCACAGGCCTCACTGGGGGTCAAGTCTGCAAACCAAGCATGTGCCCTGACTAGGAATCGACTGGCAACCTTTTGGTGCACAAGTTAACATCTAATCAACTGAACCACATGGGCCAGCCAGACTACGTTTATTTTATACAGGTTGTCATGTGCTCATTGTAGAAAGTTTAAAATATATAAATAGGAAAATTAAAAATCATTCATTTTTTAGAGTACACATATCTATATAATCTATATAAATAAAAGCCTAAGCAACTGTTATGGCAGAATGACAGTTACTATTATGCGTACTGACCACCAGGGGGCAGACACTCAACGCAGGAGCTGTCCCCTGGTGTCAGTGTGCTCCCACAGGGGGAGTGCTTCTCAGCCAGAAGTCAGACTCACAGCTGGCAAGCATAGTGGCAGTGGCAGGAGCCTCTTCAGCCTCTGCGGCAGCCCTAAGGGCAGCGGGCAGGTGAACAGTAAGGAGTGAGGGGTCCCGGACTGTGAGAGGGCACAGGCCAGGCTGAGGGACCCCCCACACACAGAGCACGAATTTTGTGCACCGGGCCTCTAGTATGTATATCTAATCATGTGTATAAACACATATCTATAAATTACATATATATCCTTCTAGACTTTTACCTATGTATCATCACCATCCTTAAATTAATAAAATGGAATTATACTCTATATTATTTTGTAACCTTTCCACATTTATTTAAATAGTAAATCATGGTTAGTGTAAAAACTTTAGAAAAGCAAACACAAAGACAGAATAATAGAAATAGCCACTGTGTAGCTCATCTTTTAAGAACGCATGCATGTACACTTATATTTTCTTTTCTTTTAGATATATTTTATTGATTTTGTACAGAGAGGAAGGGAGAGAGATAGAGAGTTAGAAACATCGATGAGAGAGAGTAATCAATCAGCTGCCTCTTGCACACCCCCCACTGGGGATATGCCCGCAACCAAGGTACATGCCCTTGACCGGAATCTAGCCCAGGTCCCTTCAGTCCCCAAGCCGACGCTCTATCCATTGAGCCAAACCAGTTTCAGCACTTATATTTTCTTAATAAAACTGGAAGCACACTCTACATACTGTGTCATAACCAGCATCATACATTTCACGTCTTGCACATTCGTGGGAGGTGGGATTGTAAATGCTCACTTTTCACCGGCGAGGCGCTGCCATAGGAAGTGTCACTGCGGCTGAGCAGGGACTGGGGTGGCTGTTTCCCGCCTTGCTGGGTGACTCAAGCTTCCTTTCTTTTTAGTCTCCTTAATGACAACTCATTATTTATCATGTAAACACTATAACCACATCAGTGAAATGTAAAATAAGAATTAAAAATATTTGTCCACAGTGTGCCACCTCTGACAAATAAAACCGGTTTTGTTTTTTTCTCTTTTCTCCCAATCCTGAACTACTCGCATATGTCACTTTTCCATTCCTGTAGGTGGAGTGTTCAAACTACTATGTTCTTGTTAATTTATCTTCCTGTTGTATTCTAGGCATTTTCTTCATGTTCCCAAATAGTTTTCATAATGATCATTTACAATAACTGCAGCATATTTCTAACTTGTTAAAAAAAAAAAAAAAAAGCAATGAGGACAGGCCAGAAAAATGGTGAGGCTCAAGGCTAGAGCCTCATGTCTTCTCTCCTTTCTCCACATGCGAGATTCCTGGCTCCTGCTCTGGTCTACACTTGTCCATCCTCAGAGGGTTCTTGGGAAGGAACTCCTCCCCTCCCTCCCAGGAGCCCAGAGCCAGGTGTGGGCGTGGAGGGGCATATGAGGGAGGGATCACTTCTCTCCCTTGCTGTTGCCCTCCTCCCCCACCTCCCTACCCCTCCACCCCCGGTGTTCAAGCTGGACTGAGGGTCCAGAAGGATGGGTCTGGTCCACAGGGTCATCAAGGCTTGCCCCTAAAGCTGCCTCACCCACTGTCTCCCAGACCACCTGCAGGATGAGATGGGAGCTGGAAATATTGTACATGCAGGAATCCTATATAATAATCCTATATAATAAAAGGATAATATGCAAATTGGCCCTAATGGCAGAATGACCAGTAGCTCTGATGCAGGAGCTGCCTCCGGCGGCCAGTACACTCTCACATGGGGAGCTCCGCTCAGCCACAAGCCAGGCTGACAGCTGCTAGTGCAGCGGCGGGGAGGGAGCCTCTCCGGCCTCCTTGGCTAAGGATGCCCGACTGAGGCCTGGGGAGCGGGCCTCAGCCTCCGTCGGACATTCCCTGAGGGCTCCAGGCTGCCAAAGAGTGTCTGACTGCCAGCTTAGGCCTGATCCCCCAGGGGGTCCCAGACTGCAAGAGGGAGCAGGCCAGGCTGAGGGACCCCCCTCCTCCCACCCAGCGCACAAATTTTCACACACCGGGCCTCTAGGACACATGTGTCAAACACAAGGCCCACGGGCCAAATCCGTCCCGCCAGGCCTTGCAATGTGGCCCGCACCGCGCTGTCATCACTGCACTCCGCTGCGTTTCCATCACAATGACAGTTTATGACTGTTCAGTAAACCATTCGGCCCGCGATTTAGGCTGGATTTTAGATTTTGGCCCCTTCTCTGATTGAGTTCGACACCCCTACTCTAGGAAAACGAGAAATCAGATGTCTGTAATTATGGAGCATAAGGACTCATTTGTGCTGGGAACTGCATGATCTCATGTCTTCCTCCCAGACAGCCCCAGACATAGGTTCCTTTCTTCCCATTTGACAGGTGAGGGAACGTGATGCTCGGAGAAAAAGACCTGCCCTGGGGGTTAGAGCTGGGAGTGCAACTCGTGTCATCAACTCCCTTTTATTTATATATTTAAATATATATTTTTAAAAAATATATTTTACTGATTTTTTTACAGAGGAAGGGAGAAGGATAGTCAGAAACATCAATGAGAGAGAAACATCGATCAGCTGCCTTCTTCACAACCCCCACTGGAGATGTGCCCACAAGCAAGGTACATGCCCCCAACCGGAATCGAACCTGGGACCCTTTAGTCCGCAGGCCAACGCTCCATCCACTGAGCCAAACCGGTTTCAGCTATTTAAATATATTTTTATTGATTTCGGAGAGGAAGGGAGAGGGAGAGGTAAAAAATGTCTATCTATCTATCTATCTATCTATCTATCTATCTATATATCTAAGCAACTGAACGACTGGTCGACCAGTAGCTATGATGCACACTGACCACCAGGGGACAGACGCTCAATGGATCAGGTTCCCTCCTGTCTGGTTCGGGCCTGTGGGGATCAGGCTGAAACCTGCTATTGGACATCCCCCGAGGAGTCCCGGATTTCAAGAGGGCACAGGACAGGTTGAGGGACCCCACTGACAGGCTGCCTCATGCATGCCCCCTACTGGGGATCAAGCTCACAACCCGGGCATGTACCCTGATGGGAATTTAACCGTGACCTCCTGGTTTATAGGTTGATGCTCAACCCCTTGAGCATTGCAGCCCAGGCTCGACTCCCTTTTAGAATGACACACGTTATGTATGTTTGTATGCATATAGAAAAAGACCTGGAAGGAAAGACATTAAACTTAATAGTTGCTACCTCTGGGGAAGTTTGTTTTTCCACTTTTTTAGTTTTTATGTTTATTTCTGTCCTGTTTCACTTCACAACTTCCAGCCACAAATATTTATAGAGCGCCTACTATGTGTCAGGCGCTAGTGTATACGCTTGGGTAAGTCAGTGAACATACTAGACTGTGTCCCCCAGAGGTAGACCTTAAGACTTGGATGCCGGTGCAGCGGGTTTACTTGGGAAATTATTTCAGGAAATGCAGATGGAGTGAGGAAGTGAGACAGGGAATGGAAGGAAGCCAGCGAGGAATGTGTTAGTAAGCCGGTCACTGCTGGGTGACCAGGACGTAAATCCTGTTTGGCCACTCAGTGTGACAGTGGAAAACACACCTCGGGTTGGCCCACTTGAGGGCCGAGCCAGGCGGGGTGTATCTCCACCCAGCACTCGCAGCCTGCTGGCCTGCTGGCTCTAACTGGAGCAGAGAACGCCCGCGGGCGGACTGCACCCGGGGAGCGGACACTGAGAGGATGAGTGCCCGAGGGGATATGGGCTCAGCAAGGACAGCATCCACCACAGCGAACAAAAGCCTCAGAACTCTGCTCTTGTGGAAGTTAGAGAGTGGGGCAGGGGGAGGTGGACACTCCATAGAATAAGTAAGAAAATTAGAGTCTGTAAGGAGGTGACACCTTTGCTGGAATTAAAAGGAGAGCGTGTTAAGTGAGATAGGGAGTGGGTGTTGCCATTTGCAAACAGATTAATTTTACAAAACCAATTCAAAGGGAAAATGCATTCTATATCAAAACGAATGTAGCTGCATGCAGTTTTGGAAAGCTGGGGGAAATTTCACCTCTAATCCCATCGTCCTAATATATCCATAGTTAGCATTTGGATGTATTGTCTTTCAGTTCTTCCCCCCCCCCCCCCTGCCCCGTAGGCATTTCCTGCCAAGACTGTAGGCATTTCCTGCCAAGACTTTAGGCACAGCATACATTCAGTTTTGTGTCCTGCTTTCTCACTTGTCATTTTAACTCGGTTCTTCAACCTCCAAGGCCCTGTGCTTCCTCTCCTCCCCTCCAAGGTGCCTGCAGCGGGGGCTGTAGCTGCTCTCCCTCCTCCTGAGCATAAGCAATCCCAGGAATTCCAATCTCCATGGATTCCAGCTGGCCAAGGCCCGCCTGACAGCAAGGAGGAGAGGGGCCTGCTGAGAATTAGCCATTCATAATGAGTAACAGATGACAGAACACATGTAACATATCTGGCCGCCCTGATGGAGGGGAGGGGAGGGGAGGGTGAGCAGCCCGGTCACCTGGAGCTCCCCCTCCGGGAGCGGCGGTCCAGCTGGGCTCTGCCATCCTCCGCCCGGCAGGCATGGCTCCGGGATGCTTTCTCCCAGCTCTGATCTCTCTAGATCTGTGCGGATGCTGGCCCGGCAGAGAGTCTCACCTCTGATGTCTCTTCTTTCAGGAGAGACTCTGTGGAATCCAAGTCGTCTTCGGCCACCTCCTCTCCAAAGAGACCGTCGCTGGAAAGGTAAGGGAAGCCATGGACTTCTCCCCCCAGAGATGCTGTTCGGCTTCTGTCCCTCTCTCTGCTGTAACGCAGGAAGCCTGAGGCTGGGGAAGAGGAAACCTTAGCTGTTAGGTTGCCTCTGAAATCTAGGATCCACACAGTAAGACTAAGGGGGAGGGGAGGGAGGTTGGGGAACTGGATGAAAAAGATGAAGGGAGCCGAAACCGGTTTGGCTCAGTGGATAGAGCGTGGGCCTGCGGACTGAAAGGTCCCAGGTTCAATTCCGGTCAAGGGCAGGTACATTGGTTGCGGGCACATCCCTGGTAGGAAGTGTGCAGGAGGCGGCTGGTCGATGTTTCTCTCTCATCGATGTTTCTGGCTATCCCTCTCTCTTTTTCTCTGTGAGAAATCAATAAAATATATATATTTAAAAAAAAAAAAGATGAAGGGATTGAGAAGTACCAATTGGCAGTCATTAAATAGTCATGGGACTATGAAGCACAGCATGGGAAATATAGTCAGTAATATTATAATAATGGTGTATGGTGCCAGTTGAGCTACTGGAAATAACAGGGGCGACACTTTGTAAAGTATATGATTGTCTAGTCATGTGCTGTTCACCTGAAACTAATACAAAAGAGCACTGAAGGTAAGCTATAATTGGCTCTAGCCAGTTTGGCTTGGTGAATAGAGAATCGGCCTGCAGACCAAAGGGTCCCAGATTTGATTCCTGTCAAGGGCACGTACCTCGCTTGCAGGTTTCTCCCCGGTCTGGGCCCTGTTCAGGGCGTGCGGGAAGGAGGCAGCCAATCGATGTGTTTCTCTCACATCACTGTTTCTCTCTGTCTTTCCCTCTGTCTTCCACTCTCCCTAGAAATCAGTGGAAAAATATTCTCGGGTGAGGATTAAAAAAGAAAAAGAAAGCATGTACTGACTAATGATGATTATAAGACTGCTTGCAATAAAGAGAACAGTGGGTTTATTTAAAATGTAAGCTCTAATTGAACATTTTTAAATAAATAAATATTTTTTTAAAGACTAAGGGGCTCCTTCATGGTGGCTGTTGCCCCATCACTGGGGCGCATTCTCAAGGTGACGCTGAACCCAGTGAGGACACAGGCCTTGAGAGCCTGTACCTGGGGTGGGGACTCTGGTTTGGGGCTGAACTGGATAGGATATCTCCCCCAGAGTAGCATATCTCATCAAATCATTCATTCATCAAATATTTGTGGAGGGCTTACTCTGTGCCAGGAACGGTTCCAGGTGCCAAGGATAAAGCACTGAACAAAAGAAACAAAAATTACTGCAGCCTCAAGGCCTGTATTCTAAGAGGGGAGACAGAGACACATGTAACAAGTAAGTTATACAACAGTTTAGAAGGTGGCATGTGCTGTGGAAAACAGAGCAGGGTGAGGGGGTTGGGGGGAAACGGCCATGGGTGGGCAGAAGAGCCCTCACCAAGGACATGACCTTTGAGCAAAACCTTAAGCAGCTGAGGGAATTGGCCGCACAGATGTGGGGGTCGTTCCAAACCTAGGGAGCTGTGAGGTGGCGGGTGGGGCTGAAGCCAGTAAACGAGAGGAGAGTTGGGGGAGGCTCGACACAGGAGCCACTGGAGGGTATTAAGCTTGTAAATTATGTGATCAAACGTGTCAGATCCCTCTGGCTGCGGTGCCGAGAATGGATTGTCAGGGCGGAAGTATCAGGAAACGTTTCTCTCTCTTTTTTTAAAAATATAATTTTTATTGATTTTTTACAGAGAGGAAGGGGGAGGGATAGAGAGTTAGAAACATCGATCAGCTGCCTCCCGCATACTTCCTACTGGGGATGTGCCTGCAACCAAGGTACATGCCCTTGATGGAATCGAACCTGAGACCCTTGAGTCCACAGGCCGACATCCACTGAGCCAGAGTTCAGTTAGGGCAGGAAACAATTTTGATTATTCAGGCACAATATGACAGTAGCTGAGGGTGGCAGCAGGCGGGGAGAAGGGGTCGACTTCACTCCAGATACATTCTGAAGGCAGAGCTGGTTGGGCCCCTGACAGATTGGATGTGGGGCACAAGAGAAAAAGTCAGGATGACTCCAAGACTTTTCACCTGAGCATCTTCTGTAAGGATGGCTTGTCAGTAGTTGACAGGGGAGGACTGAGTAAACCAGGATGTGGTGGGAGGTCCAGAGTTCAGGTTTGGGTTTGCTGGGTTTGAGGAGTATAGCAGGCATCCAGGTGGAGAAGGCGCATGAGCGGTTAGGGTATACCAGGCGGGAATTTGGGAAGAAAGTCTGGGCCGGAAATGTAAATTTCAGAGTCCGTGTGTGGCTAGCATTTGGAGCTGGCTGAGATCACTACTGGGAGAGTGTGGGTAAAGGAGTGACTTGTGGTCCAGGAGGAGGTCAGAGGTCAGAGCAGGAGAAGCAGGGAAGTGACTTGGAGGTGGATTTAAGCAAATGATGAGGGTCCAGGGGCCAGATTGGATGCTGGGACAAGCAGATGGGACAGTGAAGTTGGCTTCCAGGTGATTATGAGTGGGAGACCACAGCTGTTTCAGGCCTAATGTACAGTAAGACTGCCGCTGGAGAGAAAAGAAGCATGGCCACAAGGGCCTGTTGAAGGCTTTTTGAGGATGAAACAGGCCTGAAAGGTAGACGGGGCTGCTGTCTCGGCAGGTTCCAACTGCCAGCTCCAGCTGGTGAGTGAAGGCTCTCAGTGCTGCTGGGACGGAGTCTGAGGCTGCATCCTGCCTCGGAGAAGAGCGTTCTGTGGCCCATTCGCAATACCTGCCATGAGGGAGGGAGGCCTAGGAGGCCCCAGTGCCGTCCTGACCTTAAACTTGTGGTCCTCCTCGGAGGTTCGTTTAGAAATTCATGGCAGCATTTTCGATCGTCACTGTGACTTGGGAGGGATCTTAGACAGCTCGGGCTGCTGTCAAAAACACCATGGACTGCAGGGCTTACACAAAAGACATGTATTTACCACAGTGCCGGGGCAGGGACGTCCAAGGTCAAGGTGGCAGCTGATTCAATCCCTGGTGCAGGCCTTCTTCCTGGCTTGCAGAGAGCCACCTTCTTGCTTCTTGCTCTGTCTGCACATGATTGGGGGAGAGGCCTCTCTCCCTCTTCCTAGAAGGACTATAATCCCATCATGGGGCCCCACCCTCATCTAAACCTATTTATCTCTAAGAGGCCTTGCCTCCAAATACAACCACATTGGTGGGTAGGACTTCAATATATGGACTGGGGGGAGGGGGGAGGGGAGAGAAGGGCAGGTGGGCACACCCATATCCTGTCCGTAATGGGAATGGGGAAGGAACACCCCAGCATTTAGATGTTTAGGGTCAGAGATGCTTAACATCTTGGAACGTGAAGGGCATCCTGAAGGCTTGTCCTGTCCCAGAAGGAAACACTGGCCACTCACCCAGTTCTGGGTGTGAGGCTATAATATGACATTCAACATTTGTGGAGGGATTTATGCCTCCTCTCCTCTCCTGACCTTGCCTGTAGCCCTGAAGTCTCTTGGCTCCCTCCCATCATGAACGCTTTTCCTGAAGGTCAAATAGAAGGTGTTTGTCCTTCCAGCCGTTGTGTCATTTCCTGCTGGTTCAGTATTGGGGGCAGGCAACCCAAAGGGCCAGGAGCAAGTCTTGTAAATTCACTTTATCCCCTACCCAGACTGTTTCCTGCACTCTCTTTCTCTTCCATGCATGCATACATACAAGCATCCATCCAGCGTACACATTTGCTGAGCTCTTACTCTACAAGCAACATCCTTCAGGGGTCAAGGGCATGTACACACCCTGGGGACTCCTGGGGACTAGGGCAAAATGGAGAGGGCCAGCCCATCTGTAGGGGGCACCCACCACTCCAGCTGGTTGTTGCTCTGTGGACATGCAGACCCACTGTGCCATGTCCTGCAGCTTTTTAAGGGAAACTGGACATCTAGGTTGTCATATGAGGCTCCCAGCTTTAAATATTGGCAGCATATTCACCTTTTTCTAAGACACAATAGGGCAAACACAGTGTATTTGTAGCCTTCCAGTTTGGAACCTCTAAGGCCAGACAAAGATTTAAACTCATGATCTCTGCCATCCTGCAGCTTAATTACTAGTGTAGAGGCAGACGCCAAAATAACTGTTTTTTGAAGATATAACACACAATGGGAACATGGGAAGAGTGTTCCGTTATGATTTGAGAAGTCAAAGGTGCCCTGGCCGGCGTGGCTCAGTTGGTTGAGAGTCACCCTGTGCACCGAAGGGTCACTGGTTCATTTCCTAGTCAGGACACATACCCAGGTTTCAGATTTAGTTTCTCTCTCCCCCACCTCTCTCTCTGCTTCCCTCTCACTTCCTCTCTCTCTAAAATCTTAAAAACATATTAAAATAGAAGATGTTTTTTAAAGGAAGTCCAAAAAGACTTCATGGAAGAGAGAGTATTTGGGCTGAAAATGGATAGACGAATGAATAGGAGTTTGCCTCGTAGATAGGCAAAGAGAGGGCATCTCAGAGAGAGGAAATGGCACATGCAAAGCTGTGGCAGAATGAGTGAGCATGATGCTCTGGGACGGCAGCTGGAATAACGGGGAGCAGACCCCTGTGTCAGGGAAGAACGCTGCTAGGGCCAGGCCCAGCTGGTTTGCACCTAAAAGTCCCAGGCGCTTGGCGGTGCAGTACCTGAAACACCCTCGAGGTGGCGTGCCAGAGCAGCGAGACAGGTCTCCTGGAGCCTCTGCTCTGACCTGGAGTGGATGGATTTTCTAAGCACTTAATGGTTGGTATCAGACCACAGACTGGTGCAGACACTGACACACTCGGGAAGCAGAAGGACGCTCTGATTAATCCCACCCCTACCTCCACCCTCTCTGCAATTGGACTCAGATCCCAGTTCTGTGCATTGAAAGCAAAATGAGCATGGCTGCCCGAAATGCAACCTAGCAACAAATTCCAGCCAACCAGCCAGCGCCTTGCCAAGAGGAGGCACAGGGGCTGGGAATCCCCTGCTGGGAAGGTGAGAAAAATGTCAATAATCAGCCTGGCCTTGCCCAGGTAAAGGGATTCTGGAAAACTCTGCCTTTTAGAAACAAAGTGAGATATATTGAAAGCATTTGGAAGGCAGACAGACCTAGATTTGCAGTGTGACTCTGCCATTTGCTAGTTGGATGACCTTGGACAAGTCAGTTCATCTCTGAGCCTCAGTCTACTGACCTGTCAAATAGGGATAACTATGACACCCTTTTAAGGTTATGTGAAAATCAAAGGAGGTACTGAAATGCTCAGCACTGTTCCTACTCCATGTAAGTGCTCAATACATAATGTTTAGTACTAACTAAACATTAACTAAACATTAACTAAGGGAAACTGGACATCTAGATTGTCATATGAAACTCCCAGTTTTAAACATTTAGTACTAACTAAACATAACTCACACTTAATGTGGTTACCTATGTAAATTGCCTAATACTTTGTTACTAGAATTCTCTTAGGTGCTTTAATCCTCCTAACAACTCCATAAGATGGGTAGTATTGTTATCCCCATTTTACATGAGAGAAAACTGAGCCACCTAGAGGAGAAGCCACATAGCTACAAAGTGGTGCTGTCAGGCCTTGAACCTGGGAGTTTGGCTTTGGAGCCTGGGTCCTGAATAAATACACCACCTCGGTGTAGGCATTCCCTACATGGCAATGTTATTGTCCTTGCTTGCTGTCATGTCCTCTTCTGAGCAGCATCCCCAGGTTCCCCATTGCTGAGTCCTAGACATTGAGGATGTAGTGATGGGGCACGTAGGTCCATGAGGGGCAACACCAGGAAGAATCTGGAACGCCACCACAGTTGAATCCAGGTCATGGTTGTTGACAGACAATGGCTCAGAGAGAGACCCTTCTCTTAAGTCACTGGCCTTCCAAAGAGGACCTGTCCCCCCACTCAGCTCATCTCTGCCTAAACCTGTTGAATGCACCTTGCATCTCTCTGTGGCCAGCTCCCTCAACTCATTCTGTATTTGTTCATCAACAAACTTCACCAACTGCCTCCCTAGAGCACCGTTAAAGGTGCTGGAAGACAGCGGTGAACCAGCCAATGGGGCTCCTATACGATGGAGCCTGTATTCTGGAGATGAAAGCAGGCAATGTTTATAAACACATAAACAAGCTAATTATAGACTTGGATATGTGCCATGAATGCCAGAAATTGGGTCATGTGCTAGAGAGTTATAGGGCAGAGACAGTCTACTTGGCTGGGAGGTCAGGGAAGGAAGGCCTCCCTGAGAATGTGGTATTTGAGCAGAGGCCTGACTGGTGGGAAAGAACCAGCGAAAAGCTGGAGGAGGGACCTCCTGGGAGGAGGGGCCATTTGTGCAAAGGCCCTGTGGTGAGAGGACAGGTGTGTTTAGGGAACAGAAAGCTGGAGGGCAGTCGAGGCTTCAGTGAACATGAGGGGAGCTCAGCATGAGATCCTGTTGAGGGCAGGCAGGGGCCAGATGTGGGGGCACTGGGCAGCCAGGATGAGGAGTGTGACTTCATGCTGAAAATAACTGGAAGCCATTAGCCCAGCAGGTGCAGCTCCGTTGGTCGAGCATTGTCCCATGAACCAGGAGGTTGCCAGTTCGATTCCCAGTCAGGGCACATGCCTGGGTTGTGGGCTCAACCCCCAGTAGGGGGCATGTAGGAAACATCGGATTGGTGTTTCTCTCTCTCTCTCTCTCTCTCTCTCTCTCTCTCTCTCTCTCTCTCTCTCTCTCTCTCTCTCTCTCTCCCTCTCCTCTCCCTCTCCCTCTCCCTCTCCCTCTCCCTCTCCCTCTCCCTCTCCCTCTCCCTCTCCCTCTCCCTCTCTCCCTCCCTCGCCCTTCTTCTCTTTCTCTACAAAATCAATAAAAACATGCTTTTTAAAAAAAGAGTGTTAGGGTTGGAATCAGACAGGCCTGAGTTCATATCTCAAGTGATATACCTCTAGGTTTGTTTCCTCGGCTGCGAATGGGGACAGTAACAGTATTTACCTCCTAGGGCTGCTGTGAGGATTAAATTAGAAAGCGCTCCTACAGTGCCTGGCACTGTTCCTGGTACATGGTAAGAGCCAGCGCTCTTAAATGGCGGTACCCTCTCTATGCAGTAGACTATAAGCTCCCTGAGGGAGGGAGCTTTTCTGCCTTGCCTTGTCTGCTTTATCCCTTCTTCTCAGCACAGTACCTGAGAATAGGTGCCTAATTAATATTTATTGAAATATTTATTGAATGAGTAAAAAATTATTCAATGAGAGCAGAGAGAGAGAGAGAAAGAGAAAGAGAGAGAGAGAGAAGCTCTTCCAGTTCCTAATGGATATACAATGAGTGGCCAGATTATTATGATTTCTGAATGCATAATAATCTGGCCACTCAGTGTATATTTTATATAATAAAAGGCTAATATGCAAATTGTCCCCTCATCCAGGAGTTTGACCAGCCGGCAGGCCAGCCAACTGCCCGTGTCCCCTCCCCCTGGCCAGGCTGTGCACCGGGCCTATAATTATATATATATATATGCCAGATTATTATGCGTTCAGAAATCATAATAATCTGGCCACTCAGTATAGTTTTTGGCATTGTTACACTGTTCTGTAGCCAATAGAGCACAGTGGTAGGTTAAGAGCCAGGGTACCAGAGTTCACTGCCTGGGTTTTCATTCTGGTTCTACTGGTTTCCAGATGTGTGACCTGAGTATCATTATTTAATATGCATCTTTAGCCCAGCCAGTGTGGCTCAGTGGTTGCACCTTGACCCATGAACCAAGAGGCCACTGGTTTGATCCCAGGTTTCGAGCTTGATCCCCAGGTGGGGGCGTGCAGGAGGCAGCCGATCGATAATTCTCTCATTGTTGTTTCTCTCTCTCTCCCTCTCTCTTAAATCAATAAAAACATATTTTTAAAAACCCACAGAAAGCAGTTTGCATGTTAACTTCGTATTAGTACTGTAGCTAGTCATGGTTTGTTTGAGGTCAGTTGAGTATAAAAAAAAAAAAGAAAAAAAGAAAAGAATAGTATCAATCCCGTGGGGTTATGAGAATTAAATGAAATGATCCAAATCAAGTACCTAAAATAGTACCTACCTCATAGGCTTGTTATGATAGTAAAGGGATCATTGCTCAATAAATGCTTTATTTGCTCAGTATCACAGTGTCGATTACTGATTGTCATCCTCAGATCAAACAGCAGCAAGTCGAAAGCAGAGACCTCCCCCAAAACGCCCAGCAGCCCCTCGAGCCCCACCTTTGCCCCCTCCATCTGCCTCCTGGCACCCTGCTACCTCACAGGCGACTCTGTCCGGGATAAGTGTGTGGAGATGCTCTCGGCGGCCTTGAAGGCGGATGGTGAGAGGCCTGGGCCAGGGCTGGGGAGGGAAGGGCTTCCCGCGGGCCGATGAGACGTGGCCTTTCTCGGTGCCATGGGAGAGGTCCAGGATGCGGTAGTCCTCGGTACAGGCAGGTCTCACTGCCAAGGTCATGTCTGGCTGATGCCTGTGTTCACCACTCTCTTTTAGATGATTACAAGGACTATGGAGTCAACTGTGATAAGATGGCATCAGAAATTGAAGATCATATCCTTGAGCTTTGCCAAGGCTGTGGGTCCCTGGACTGTCCAGCAGCAGGTCTCCCAAGTACAGAGGACCCCCGACAGTGAGCAGGGAGGGAAAGGGCTCCGGGACAGCCCGCTGCTCTGCCCCTGACCTGGAGGTCTGGATTCTAGCTAACATGTAGTAAGTCTTGCACCTACCAGCCTCACGCTAAGCTGTGTATGAGCAGTACGTCATTCAGTGTTGACAACAATCCACGAGGTAGGTTTCCTCATTAATCCTGTTTCACAGGTGAGGAAACTGAGGCTCAGAGAGATTAAGTCACTTGCCAAAGCTCACACAGCAAATAGCAGTGACATAGTTGAGATTGGAACCAAGAAAGTGTGATTCCAGAACCTGAAGGCTCAGTGTCTGTGCCAGACAGACTATGTCATAAATAACATGCCTAGTTTTGACTTCAAGTAGGTGAGTAGACAGAGAAGGACCGCATTTCTCAAACTCAGCCTCCCCCCAACCCCCTCTTCCAACCACTGAAGATAACAGCTCCCGTTTTTTACTCCCTAATATGTCCCAAGCACTGTGATGGGCAACTGACACTTCCTACCTCTATTAATTTTTCACAACAATCTCTGTGACGCAGGAGCTGTTGTTTCCATTTCTCAGATGAGGAAACTGAGGCTCAGGAACTACTGATGTCAGAGCTGGACTGAGGACCTTGGTCTTTGGGTTTCTGAGGTCTTTCCATAAGGAGGTGACCTCCTACCTGTGTGATACGGGCCCATTGCTCCAAAAGATTTCTCTCTTGGAGGGAAAAATCCCTCAGCGCTGTGCCCCACTGAGTGAATGCTGGGGTTTGTTTTACTGGAGACAAAGCTCTGCATGTCAAGGAGGTGTGGAGGGAAGCGGACAGAATCCCCAGGAGAAAGGGCCTCTGAGTGTGTCACACTGTGTGTGAGGGACCCTTCTGAGGCCTCCTGGGCTTTCCTTGGGAGCCAGCTGGGGTTAGGGAGGGGTGGGGGCCAACCTGCAGACAACAAACTTGCCTGCTTCCACCTCCTTCCTGCCTGAGGCCCACCCTAACATCCTCCCATACCTCTTCTGGGAGTTTCTCTCCACCGTCACTTGGTTATTAGCCACCCTTGTGCTACCCAGCATCTCACCAAGTACGTGCTCATAATTTCTAACTCACTCACAACACGGAGCATGGGCTTCCTCTTTGTCTTCTCTGGAACCCTCGTCCCTCCACGCAGGTCCCTTCCCAGTTTGAAACAAGGGTGGGTGACCTAGTAGCTCGTTCCGCTGGCCTTTCCCCTGTGCTTTCTTCCTCCTGAGTGTCGGTCACTAAAGGAGAGGAAATCAGAGCTGCATCGACCCCGTGTCCTCTCCAGAGTGACCCTGGACGAAATGGGAGCTGTGGGGCTCCCGTGTGCTCCTTGGAGGGGTCGGTGGCCCCAGGTCCCGCTCTGCTCTCCCTTGTCCTCCCCTGTGATCCTGGGAGATAGTCGGGAAGAAGCCGGTGGAAATACTGCCAGCGCTCCTGTCCCCACAGGAGCCCTTCCATGCCTCCAGGAGCCCTTCCACGCCTCCAGGAATCCCAAACGCAGATTTTTAAACATATGTGTTGGCTTTCCAGAGCGTTGTGGCACATTCTTGCTTTTTACGTGTTTATTGTACAAACAACATTAAAACAAAAACAGAAAGAATACCACCTTCCTTCCCAAGGCAGTCAGCGGTCTTCATTTCCCTCCATTCCCCGCAGCCTCTCTCTGTCTCTGGCTCTCCCCAGCAGAGGCCTCATCTCCCTGAGGCTCCTTGGCTTAGGAGACGGAGCACACTGGGCTGCGTTCCCTGAGCTGCTCCAGGGGAGGGAGTGGAAGGTCTGTCGGGGACGCAGCATCTGGACAGAGCCGTCACTGTGGTCCGTGGCCACGGGCAGCTTCCTGCTGGCTGAGCCGAGAGCATGGCCTTGAGGAGGGGCTCTGGCATCCAGCCCCGGCTCTGCCGGGAATGTGCCCTGTGACCTTGAGCGAGGGCCTGCATTCTTCCTCAGCCTCAGCTTCCTCATCTGCTGAGGACCAGCAATTCCCAAAGTAGGTTCCAGGGGATAACTGAGAATGGGGGGCACTGGGTTGCACAAGGCTCAGCTATTTATTTATTTATCGCAGTATTCTTAGAGCCTCCAACCTGTGCCTCCTATCTTGTTTTTCTCTGCCAGCTGGACTCACAACCCCCAGGTCATCATCATCATCATCTGAACAGCCCCTAAATGTTGAATTCTTGCTATGTTCCAAGTACCATGCTAGTGAATCATGTAGCTTTGATTGCTGAATCCTCATAACAGCCCCGTATGTTATAAATGAGGAAACTGAGGCACAAAGAGGTCACGTGAATCACCTGAGGTCATACAAGAGGCTCAGACAAACCTGGGGTGCCCATTCCTGGAATCCCGGACACCGCAGTGCTTGCCATAACCTTAGAGGCTGTTTCCCGTCCCCGACACATGGTGACCCCAAATGCCTACTGAAATTCCCTCAAATGCCACAGAAGTGCCAACCCCTGCACAAGTCCAAGGAGAGGAGATAGCCCTGGCTCTCCTCAGGCTTCCGGGAGAGGATCCCCATCCTCCCCTCTGTGAGTAGCTGGCAGGCCCTTGACCATGTCACATATCTACCAGGAGCTCAAGAGCACAGACATGAAGTACCGGAACCGCGTGCGCAGCCGCATCAGCAACCTCAAGGACCCCCGGAACCCCGGCCTGCGGCGGAACGTGCTCAGTGGGGCCATCTCCACCGGCCTCATTGCCAAGATGACAGCAGAGGTGAGGGCCAGGCTGGGACCTCTGCAGAGTGTGGTGGGAGGCCAGGCCCCTCCAGCTTTGTCCAAGTTTGAGAGGCAGTGGCTTGTGACTCCATAAAGCTGAGCCAGGGAGCCCTAACGGGTTTGGCTCAGTGGATAGAGTGTCGGCCTGCAGACTGAAAGGTCCCAGGTTCGATTCCAGTCAAGGGCATGTACCTTGGTTGCGGGCACATCCCCAGTAAGGAGTGTGCAGGAGGCAGCTGATCGATGTTTCTCTCTCATCAATGTTTCTAACTCCCCATACGTCTCCCTTCCTCTCTGTAAAAAAAAAATCAATAAAACATTAAAAAAAAAAAAAAAAAAAAAAGATGAGCCAGGGAGCTCTTACAGTCAGACCATCTCAGACTCTCAGTCTCTCAAGGCCTCTGGACCATAAGGATGGTGAACATGGCTAATACATAGTAGGCATTGCACCGAGCACTTTAGACACACTGGCCAATTCTATCTTCACACCTAAGGTGGGAATGTTTACAGATGAGGAGGCTGAGGCTCAGAGGAGTTAACGGATTTGCCTATACTCACATCTAATAGAAAATATTCAAGCCAGGAGGCGAGCTGTTGGGTCTCAGAGTGCCCACTCTTCACTGTTCAGTTATCTGCCTCCCCCTCTGCCTGAAGCCCATTACCCAGCTCTGGGCCCAAGCCAGAACAAGAGTCTCTGTCTACACGGAGCACAGTCCAAGGTGGGGAGACTGATACACTTACAAGTGTGTGTAAAACAGGTGGTGAGCGCCATGACAGAGGCATTGTGGGGACTGAGAGGAAGGAAGGATTGCTCCAGCTTAAAAGAGTCAGTAAGGAAAGGAAAAAGGAACAAGCCTGTTTGGGTTTGAATTCTGCTTCTGCCTCTTAGCTATGTAATCTTAGGCAAGGCACGTAACCTCTCTGTGCCTCAGTTTTCTCATTTGTAAAATGGGAATAATAATGATAGCTATCTCATAAGCATTAAATGAATTTAGAAGATTAATATGTGAAAAGCCCTCCTCAGAATTAGAATACAATAGGCCCATTCACCAACCATTTTCTGTAATCCTTGGCACGATGCTATGAAAGAGGAAATGGTATCCTAGGTTTTTTTAAATAGATATTTTTATTGATTTCAGAGAGGAAGGGAAAGAAAAATATCAATGATGAGAGGAGAATTATTGATCGGCTGCCTCCTGCAAATTCCCTATCGGGGATCAGGTCCCCAATCTGTGCATGTGTCTTGACTGGGAATCGAACCTGTGACCTCCTGGTTCATAGTTCAGTGCTCAACCACTGAGCCACGCCGGCCAGGCTAGTAACCTCGTTTTATGGATGAGAAAACTGAAGTCACAAACAACTTATAAGTGACAGATGAGGGTGTAAACCCAGAGCCAAGTCCATCTTGGAGAAGTCTTGTACACATCCTCAGGTCTGAGCCACTCTTTCCTGCCACAACTCCCAGAGGGATTCCCCACGGCACCCAGGGATGGCACACTGAGCACTAGGAAAGGGAGTGGCCCCCAAGAAGGGGAGGGGACATGCATGACATCTGAAGTCTGGGTGTGCCTGGGGGTTTCTGGGAATCCTCTGAAACTGTTGGCAAGAGTGGGCCTTCGTGTGTGTGTGTGTGTGTGTGTGTGTGTGTGTGTGTATGTGTGTATTTAGTCTACTAGTATGTGTGTGGTTAGGGTATGACGTGTGGTATATGTAAGTTGTGTGTGTGTTATATAGTGTGCATGTATGTTTTTCTGAGAAGCTAACAGAGGGAAGCTAAGGGACTTCCTCAAATACCCAACAGAAGAAAGATAGTACCTTTGGGCTTTCAGACACAATGGGAACTAGGCCAGGTGGACCAGGATTGTCTTTCTGCTTAATTTAAAACATCTCATCTCGCCCTGGCTGGTTTGGCTCAGTGGATAGAGCGTCAGCCTGAGGACTGAAAAGTCCTGTGTTCGATTCCCATCAAGGGCACATGCCTGGATTGCAGGCTCAATCCCCAAAAGGGGGCATGCAGGAGGCAGCCAATCAATGGTTCTTTCTCTTCATTGATGTTTCTCTCTCCCTCCCTTCCTCTCTGAAATCAATAATATATATATATATATATATATATATATATATATATATTACATAAATAAATAAATAAATAAATAAATAAAATATCTGATCTCTTTAGGCAGCTAGCAATCTATTGCCCAGAGTTACAATTGCAACCTGCCTGGCTTTAGGCATATGCCCTTTCCCTGCACGGTAAAGCCGAGACCTTTCTGGAAACCCAGCCTTGGGTTTATTCCTTCGTCTCTCATCCGTGACCCTGGGGTCACGCTGCTTCTCTTTGTGTGTGCGCTGCGGGAATGCTATCGAGAGTGTCTGACAGGCCATTCCAGAGCATGTTGGGAAACCAAGCCCAGGGGGACCAGGAGCAAGGCTTGGCGCGAGTTTGAGCCAAACCCAGCAAGTTCCCAGAAGCTGGAGGTCAGAACAGAGCTGAGCGTCCGGATTAGGCCAGAGACAAGCCCCAGAAGTCCCAGCAAAGCAACTGGCCACGCCAGACACGTGGATGAAACCGGGTTCAGGCCAAGGGCTGTTCACCAGAATAGGCCAAGAGAACCGGGTGATCAACCCGGGCCCAAAAGGAGGCTGAGCAGACCAGGGGAGCAGGCCGGGAATCCAGCAGGCCCTCCACAAGGAACTGCCAGGGCCCACTGCCAGGGAACCCCTGCCAGCAGCCCAGCCAATATGGATGCCAAGGAGATCTTCCTAGGTCACCTTTTGCTCCAGGCAGGAGGTTTCTCTAAGAACGATGGGACCGTTTTCGCTCCAATAAGAAAAGTGACGGCTGAGTGTGAGCTGCGTGCAGGGCTGGGCTCAGAGGACGGGGAGGTGCTGTCAGGGAAGGTCCAGGACAGGGGAGGCCCATGTGGACCCATGTCCCTCTCCGCATCCTGTCTCCCTAACTCCCTTTTTGTGTCTCTTTCCTTGTCCAGCTGATTCCCTCTTTCTTCCTCTCTTTTCCTCTCTAACCAGACATGTCAAAGAATCGAGTAGAGTCTGAGATAGGTACCCATTAGAACCGTGGAGGGACATGCTGTCATTCCCGCAAGGACAGGGATTTTTGTCTGCTCACTGAGTCAGGGCAGAGCGAGGTGAATGGATTGGTGGGGGAGTGGATAGAATGTTTTTCTGTTTTTATTCCTTAGGTGGCACACGAGACTGTCGTTCTACAATCTGACCCCCAGCCATGTCTCCCACACTCCTCGCTCTGAGCCCCGCTCTGTGTACCCTTCCCCAAACAAGTTATTGATCTTTTTTTATGTTTCATTTCTTTTTTCCTTTTTAAAAAAATATATATTTTATTGATTTTTTACAGAGAGGAAGGGAGAGGGATAGTTAGAAACATCGATGAGAAAGAAACACAAATCAGCTGTTTCCTGTACCCCCCACCCCCGCACTGGGAATGGGCTCACAACCAAGGTACATGCCCTGTCCACTGAGCCAAACTGGTTTCAGCTCATTTCTTTTAAAAATATATATATATATTTTTATTGATTTAAGAGAGGACGGGAGAAGGAGAGAGCGGGGGGGGGGGGGGGGGGCGCGGGGCGGAGAAACATCAATGATGAGAGAGCATCATTGGCTGCCTTCTGCATGCCACACTCTGGAGACCAAACCCACAAGTCAGGCATGTGTCCTGACCAGGCATCGAACCTGGACCTCCTGGACATAGGTTAAATGCTCAACCACTGAGCAACACTGGCCAGGGTGTCCTCTGAATTTTTGCATGGACTATTCGCTATGTCTATTCTTTCAAGATTAGTTAAGGCAGTGGTTGGCAAACTCATTAGTCAACAGAGCAGCAAAACACAGCTCAAGAGCCGCAGTTTGCCGGACCACTGAGTTAAGGTGTCAGTTTCTTTAATGTGTCTTTTCTGCCCCCAAGCAGTTAACCCCACACTGGGGGTGGGGAGGACTTTCCCTGCATTATGCATACCTTTGTTTTTTTGTGTTTTGTTTCCCAATATATTTTATTGATTTTTTACAGAGAGGAGGGAGAGAGTTAGAAACATCAATGAGAGAGAGTCATCGATCAGCTGCCGCAACCAATGTACATGCTCTTGACCGGAATCAAACCAGGACCCTTCAGTCTGCAGGCTGACACTCTTTCAACTGAGCCAAACCGGTTTCGGCCATACCTTTGTTTTAATACTTCATAGGCTATCTGCTATCTTGTGTAAATGCTAGGCTACTGTACCAGATTAGCATTGCCTGGGGATAGGAACCAAACCTTATCTGAGTCCTGAGGGCTCAGAGGCAGTGGTGTTCTGAAACCAGCTCCAACCAGCTCAAGAGACATGATTATGTGTAGCTACTCCCAGCTCTGCATTCAGTGGTGTCCACATTAGTTGCTTGAAATTGGCCCTGGTGGAAATATTTAACTATGGAAACTGATAAATGCTACAAATCAGCCACCCCTATGGTCAAACCCAGTTTACCAGCACACCAGTGCACTGAAAGACATTCAATAAATTAGCATCCCATAGGTTTTGAATGGACGAATGCCTTATGTTCTGAGAAATCGCCCCCAAATTAAAATCAGCTGCTTTTTGCTTATGTGGCCTTGACCGACGTGCTTTACCCTATTGCTGGTTAGAACCTATTCCTTGAATTTAACGCAGTAGCATTTAAACAATTGCGTGCACCAGAGTAGCTTGGGGACACTAGCAGAAATGCATATTCCTTGGCCTGCCCTTCGAGTGTTGGGTTCATAGGAATCTGCATTTTGACAAGAAGCCCAAGTGGTTATAACACAGTGGTTATTGTCAAGGAAGGACCCTGACAATGCGGACACTTGAGTGTCCGCGTTAGATTTAGTGGTCACTAAAACCATAGGACCTGTGTGCCCGCTCTGCCCTCCATGTGTAAGGAGTCCAGTTGGAAAGCAACAGTGGAAATGTTGAGCCATTCCCGAATCCTCACTCATTTTAGCATCAGCCTCTGCTGCCCTCCTCCCCCAACACCAGCCTTCACTAGAAAGAACTCTCTCTGGTTTGAGTGCCCCCCTCTCTGTTCTCATCTGGCAGAGGTTTAAGGGCAGTCAACTGGCCAGGGAGAAGGATAAAGAAAGGAAGGACCACCAGGACTGGTTTGGCTCAGTGGATAGAGCGTCGGCCTGCAGATTGAGGGGTCCCAGGTTCGATTCCTGTCAAGGGCATGTACCTTGGTTGCGGGCACATCCCCGGAGGGGGTTGTGCAGGAGGCAGTTGATTGATGATTCTCTCTCTCATTGATGTTTCTAACTCTCTATCCCTCTCTCTTCCTCTCTGTGAAAAATCAATAAAATATATTTTTTTAAAAAAGAAAAAGAAAAAAAAGAAAGGAAGGACCCTGACAATGCAGACACTTGAGTGTCTGCAGTGAGTTGACACACAAGACAGGAGAGTCTAGGAACATAGCGATGTTCTGGTGCGCTCACAGGTGAGCAGTTATGGTATGAGCCCAGGTGCTTCAGCTCCTGCATGGGGATGGGGTTGGGGGGGGGGGGGTGTGTGACAGCAACAGCAAGTCCTGGTGAGACCAGGTTCCCACAGGCGAAATGGGCTGGGCAGTGATCACAGCTTGGGCAGGCCTGGGTCACATCTGGACTGAAAGGATAAGGAGAACATCATAGACCAGGTGGTCACTGATCAAGTCAGCTCAAGCAGGAAGGTTCAGGAAGGTTCAGGCAGGTGCCCAAGGTCCGGGCAGGCAGGGTGAGCACAAGATCTGAGGAAATGTACCCTCGAGTGTTGATCCGGGGGCAGAAGCTGTTTGCCTTCTGCACCTGGCCCCCCAGAGTCCCCTTCCACCCAACGGATGGCCTTTTCGCTGCTGAGGCAGGGCCAGGAGTCCAGGCCTCCCCTCAGCTCCTTGTTCTCAGTCCAGCATGTTCCCCCTCCTCTGTCCGGGCTCTCTAGACACAGGAATGGGGCAGGGCCCCTGGGACTCCCGGCCCTGAAGGACAAACTTGTTTCTCTCCAGGAAATGGCCAGTGATGAGCTGCGGGAGTTGAGGAACGCCATGACCCAGGAGGCTATCCGTGAGCACCAGATGGCCAAAACGGGCGGCACCACCACTGGCCTCTTCCAGTGCAAGAAATGCAAGAAGAAGAATTGTACCTATAACCAGGTAAGGAGAAGAGGGGAGGGGAGGGGAAGCTACAGGGGCACAGAGATGGAGAACCAGAGAGAGCTCAGGGAAGAGCCAGAGGGGAAAAGAGTTAAAACTCCAGGCTGCAGAGAAAAGGATACCAATATGTATCCATGGCTTCTGTTTTGTTTTGTTTTTGTTAATCCTCACCCAAGGATATTTTTTCCATTGCTTTTTCAGAGATAGTGGAAAGGAGGAAGGGAGAGACAGAAGAGAGAGAGAGAGAGAGAGAGAGAGAGAGAGAGAGAGAGAGAGAGAGAGAGGGAGAGAGAGAGAGGGAAACATCGATATGAGAAAGACACATTGAATGGTTGCTTCCCACATGAGGAATTGAGCCTGCAACCCAGGCACATGCTCTTGTCCAGGAATCGAACCCACACCCTTTGGTGCGCAGGTCAACACTCTAACCACGGAGCAACGTCGGCTAGGGTCCTGTGGCTGCTAGAAAATAACATTTTGCATATACAATCACCCAGATTTGTGTCTGTGAGGCTCGGCCAGCATGTTCTGGCTGTACCTGCAGCAAGACTAAGAGGAACCAGACTTACCGGGCACAGAACTGTAGCGCCCCAGATGATTGGAAGGGAACGTGGCAATATAAAACTCAGCTCTCTCGCTTTGCACACAGAGAGACTGAGGCCCAGGCAGGGGACAGGCTGGACAGGCTTTGCAGCTTTGTCCAAGATGACAAACATGGTCAGTGACAGAGAGAGTAATAAGCCTAGACCTAGACCTTTCTGCCGGCTCACAGCCAACTTCGTGTGCAAAGCCTAAGGGTTTAGCCCTGAGACCTGAGGATGAAGCCCGTTGCCCCTGTACGGGAGCCACATAAAGCTATGGAGGCCCCTTCTCTGGGAGACTTTAAACCAGAGAACCACCTGCTGCTTCTGGGCAGCACCTGTTATGCCCTTAGGGCACCAATGTTCTTGGATTCTAACTGAGACCCAGTCATTCTGGAACTCCATTCACTCCTCCATCTGCTCAGCAAGCAAGTGTATCAGGAGCACCTTGCCTGTGGCGATCTGTAGCTACAGCAGAAATACAGTCAGCCTTGCCACTCAGGAATCCCACCCCATGGGCTCCCAGCTGACATCATTCACAGCTGAGTGTCAGCGAACTAACAACGTGCTATATGCCATGCCATTTATGGAAAATCAGAACAGCAATCTTTAAATGTGGGAACGCCAGGGATTTGCTGTGGGAAACCCAGTTCCTGTACCTGACTGGTTTGGGTAAGGGAATAAGAAACTAAAAAAAAAAAAAAAATTACATTAAACCTGTTAACCAAGCGGGACATATAAATATTGATATGTCAAACGTAAACAATATCGGGAACGGGTAGGGCGTATGAATACGTCCTGGAAATATATGTTGCGCCCTGAGAGGGACGGTATATATTTTTTGTAATCTTTATAATTGTTTGTAAAATTTATAATTTTTTAATTCGATGTTTCCATTTTTTTGTTGGTATTCTTTTCTCTTTTTTTTAATTTTGTATTTTTCTTTGTGCTTTATATATAAATAAATAAATTATATATATATATATATATCATTTATTTTAATTAAGTATAAATAAATAAAAATAATATGAAATTACATCCTCCGGGCATGACGTACTGACACGTCCTAGTGAAAGAGTATGCGCCCATTACAGGTTGCGTAATTAAAAAGGGAACTCCCCGGTTAACAGGTTAACTAGTCCTCATGATCTTCAAATCTCTTTTCCTTTCTGGCCTCAGTTCTACAACCTCTAAAATAAGGTCTAAAATAAGGAATGAATTAAGTGTAGGGGTGCTCCCAGCTCACCTACGAGGCATGTTCAGAGGTGAGTCAGGGAACACTTTCTGTAGGAGATGAGTCTTGAGGCAAGAGAAGAGAGAGCAGTTCAGAAGGATCAAAAAGAGTGAAAGTGCAAAGGTCAGGCTGAGCCGGTGAGATCCCGAAAGTGAGCTGATGGGCCTGCAAAAGAAGAAAACGCACATTCTGGAGTTCCAGCGATAAGGAATTGCCAGTGTGGGGAGGGAACGGCAGTGCTAAGCGCTGGGTCTTGGGCCTGCTTCTGTGGACAGTGGGAGCTCAGGCCGGCTCTGGAGCAGGGGGGTGATTTCACGCGTGGGCCTCTCTCTGTCTCAGGTGCAGACGCGCAGTGCAGATGAGCCCATGACCACCTTTGTCCTGTGCAATGAGTGCGGCAATCGCTGGAAGGTCTGTATCTTTCTCCCTCCCCCCTCTCCCCCACATCCACAGATGCTACCTCCCCACCCACCCACCCCAAGGAGTAGTATACCCTCAGCCGAGAAGGGGCCTTGTGCACGGGAGCTTACCAGCCTGTGCAGGGTGGATCTGCAGTGCTGGAGACCGTGGTGGGCTGTTATTGGTGAGGCAGGGGTGTGTTCCTTTTGGAAGGTACCGGCTGGGATGGGGGCAGCAGCCACATTTGGTCAGAGGATGGGCAAGTCCCTCATCTGAGCACAGAGGGAGTCAGTTGCTCCACCCCCACCCCCGGACCCAGAGAGGAAAAACAACAGCACTCTGCACTTGGGCGCACTTCTTTGCAGAGCACTTTAACAGATGTTGTTTCCTTTGAACCTGGCCGTGGCCAGGAATGAGGAAGGCTGAGTGCTGCCAGAGGGGCCTCTCCCCCGGGGCTCCCAGGTCATCCTCCCTCCCCAAGGCGGCTCTGGAAAAGCTTACGTTACCGAGGCTGTCACCTGGGCTGCCCAGCTCCCACGAAGGCAGAGGTTTTGTTTTCAGACATGAGCGCCAGGCAAAGACCCCTCCAGAGTGCTCCTCTCTGCCACGTCTTCCGAAAGAACTGTGTGGTCATGTGATTCGTGTCAGTCTCCGGTACCACCTGACCCCCACGTGCACTGTGTGATGTCTGGGCCACCAGGCAGGCTGTGGGCTCTCAGGCCCTTAGCAAGGAGCCCCAGACCGAGCGTCGGACTGGGAGTCGGAGCCCTGCTCTGCCCTGGGCACTGTGTGAGCCTGAGCATCTTACTCTCTCCCTGAGCAAAGGAGAGCCGTGCCCTTCTCCAATGACGGATGCGAAGGTGATCACATCCGCATGCACACTTTGCAAACAGCTAGGAGGAATGTTCCTTTCTAAGACGACTTTCACTTTTGAAAGAGGAAACGGAGCTCCCGAAATGTTTCACACCCATGAGGCCACCCCGTGTGGAGCAAATTCCCGGTGGATTGTGTTTCTACAACTTGACTGAAGGCCTCCGTAGCCCTGGGGACTCGGCGGATCTGCCATGTGTTTTTAAAGTGAAAGTCAGACCGTTGTGTATTTTTCCTTCGTTCATCTGTTGAGCGCTTGGGGATATGGCCAGTTCAGCGGCCTCGTGGTTTAGAGCATGAGCCGTGGCATCGGGTTCAAATCCGCGTTTTATCACTTTTTTACAAAGTGACTGAGCTAAGTGACCTGAACTTTCTAGGCCTGGACTTCCTGCTCTATAAAATGGGAATGTTAATATCCAGCCCACAGACCTGTTTGGGGATTAGGGACGGTAATACACGTGAGGCATTACTAGGGCCTCTGGTGGCTCAACTCGCCCCTTTTGCCACGCTCTCCGGTGCAGTGAACAACCGGCACAACCACACGAAAAAGCCCTGAGCACGCATGTCCCTGGTACATAGCAACCGCCGTCCTTGTTATCCCGAGTTTGGCAATCCCTAGTACTATGGGGGCTTAGGCGAATGACTTAACCTCTCTGAGTTGCCTCTGTACCTGTGAGAATGGGAGTGACGTAGCGCCTACCTCCTAGGGTGACTGTGAGGATGAAATGAGTTAATAGCTGTGAACATTGCCTGTCCCAGAATTAGTGAGTGCCCAGTACACGATAGCTCTTGTCATTGTTACTGCTGAGGAGCAGACATTCTGCTCGCTGCAACCCAGCTCCTCCTCCCTCCCCATTAGTCAGAGAGGCCGGGCTTACGAGAGGTGGCAGCGACCTGGCTTCTGACCCCATTTTCAAGTGGTGTCCACTGCCACGAGGAAGGCCTAAAGTCTAATCAAGTGATTCGCGACCATCACAGTGATATTTTTTTTAAAATATATTTTATTGATTTCAGAGAGGAAGGGAGAGGGAGAAAGAGACAGAAACATCAACGATGAGAGAGAATCACCACTGGCTGCTCCTGCACACCCTCTACTGGGGATCAAGCCCGCAACCCAGGCATGTGCCTTTGGCCGGAACCAAACACAGGACTCTTCAGTCCGCAGGCTGATGCTCCACCCACTGAGCCAAACCAACCAGGGCCTCAGTGATATTTTGATGATGAATTGAGAACACACCACGTGTTTGACATCACATTTCCATTTGTTTATTACCCAGTACCCTCCTCACCTTGGCCGGCATGATGATCCCGTTTTACAGATGAGTGATTTGTTCGGAGCCACACAACTAACGATGACAGAGCTGGGACTCAGCCTGTGGTCTGTGTGGCTCCAGGCCCTACCTTCTTTTTCATGTCCCCTTCCCCTCCCCCAGCCTCCTTGGGTGGCGCAGGAAAAGCTCTAAAATTCTGTTGCCTTTTTGGTTTTGTAGTTCTGCTGATAGCATTGCCAGCCAGGATTTCAGTGAACAAGTTGAGGAAGAACAAAGAGAAAGCGCTAAGCCATCGTAACTGGAGAAAAATAAATAAATAAAATATAAAATGAAGAAAAACGCTGAACTCTGGATGGGGTATTAGGGATCAGAGGGAGAATCCTTTCACAGGTAAATCCCTAGTTATGAATAATGAATGGCGAATAGAAGGAGCCTGACTGGGATACCACCCAAAGAGTCTGTGCTGGCAAACGTCTTGTAGAAATCAGAGACTTGGGTGTCACATCTTTGATGGGCTTGGCACACCTTTGCTTTTCGTCCCTTCCCTCACATCCAAACCTCCCAGCCTTTTCTGAGTTGAAAAATAACAGACTGATGCAGGTCTTACCCCACCCCACCCCAGAGTCACGCACGAGAACACTTGGCACACCATTTGGCTCAGGCAGATATGTCTATCACATCATGTGGAAGATTTCCTCCCTGCTCTGCATCTTTCCCCAAATTCTATTCCCTGTTCAAAGCTGGCTTTGGGGGCCTTTGAACCAGGGAACAGATCGTCCTGAACCGAGTCTTTCTGTCTGAAGAGTACAGGCCCTAAACCTGCCCCCCCACCACCACCACCTCTGCCAGTTCCATGGCCCCAGGGAGGTGCCAAGCCTCAGAAGATGCCTAGGCCCTGGCAGTGCGTTCTCCACAGCTCCATCTATGGCCTCCGCTTCAGAGGAAGTCTGCAGGGAGGGTCCTGATCATGCTTCTCCCACGATCACATCGGCTTGCTTTTTACGCTGATAGGAACTTTAGGCAAAGCTGGAATCTTCTGGAAAAGCCTTGGGAGCAGGTCAGGTAGGCCTGTCCTGAGTCTAAGTCTCTGTCCCTGGCTTCCAGCAGACCCAGCCTGAGCCTCCTGGGCTCTGTTTCCTAAAATGACTGACATGCAGGAGCCTGGGAACTCTTGGGAGCCTAGGCAAGTCACTTACCCTGTTTGGGCTGTTTCCTTGCCTATAAAGACAGGAGGGGTACTAGTGCCTCCCTCATAGAGTGACTAGGCAGAGGCCGCTGGGTCTCCATCTGCCTTGGTACACCCTTAGGGCAACTTAGGGCAACTGTTCTGAGTAACTTCAGCCCAAGTTTTTAATATGTTTTATTGATTTTTTTCACAGAGAGGAAGGGAGAGGAATAGAGAGTTAGAAACATCGAGAGAGAAACATCCATCAGCTGCCTCCTGCACACCCCTTACTGGGGATATGCCTGCAACCAAGGTACATGCTCTTGACCGGAATCGAACCTGGGACCTCCCAGTCCACAGGCCGATGCTCTATCCACTGAGCCAAACCAGTTTCGGCAAGCCCAAGTTCTTTATAAGCCCTGGGCATCAGCCACTCTGAACTGGTTATCACCTTCTTCCTTCCATCCACCAAGTGCCTCCTCCTGGATGAAGCCTGTGAATAAACTAGAAATCTACCACCATCTTCAGTTCTTCAGCTGTCAGATTCGGGGCGGGTCCTTTGGAAGGCTTAAGAATCTGCTCACAGAAGACACAACATACACAGCTCATAAGTGGCAGGATCAGGACCGAAACCCAGGTCTCCTGCTTTCTGTCATTGTGCTCGATGCAATGAGAGCTCCAGGGCCATGCACAATGCTTGGCAGAGACCTCCCAGGAGTTCCCAGCCTGGGGAGAAGTCATAGGCACGGACCTCCACAGCAGATGGGATGTGTTACATGCCTGAGGTATGAATACTCCCTATACAGTGTGGAGGGATGTTGCTTAGATACCCAGGGCTCTTTACCCTTTACCATGGTGGGACCACCACTCCCCCACCCCCCGGGATCGTGTCTGGGGTGGGGCCTGAGATTTTTCATTTCCAACAGGCTCTCAGGTGATGCCCACACCGCTGGTCCCCACTGAGTAATAAGGGTTGAGATATCCAGATTTTTCTCTGCATTATCTAATCCTCCATCTAAATGTCTAGAAGACAAAAGCGGAACAAATACTTTCAACTTAATAATGTCATTGATCAGTTACCTGGGATGGAACCTGGGCAGGTACCACGACAGAGAACTGAACCAGCAACCTTTTGGTGCAGAGGATGACGTCCAACCAACTGAGCCACAGTGGCCAGGGTTATTATACTCTTTGTTCAATTGTAAAGTATACATAACATACAATTTGCCATCTGACCCGTTTTTAAGGGTACATACAGTTCAGTAAAATGCATTCACATTGTTGTCCAGCCGGTCTCCAGAACTCTCTTCATCCTGCAAAACTGAACCTCTATATGTCTTAAACAATTCCCCATTTCCCCTTCCCCCCCGCCTCTGGCAAGCACTGTTGTACTTTCTGTCTCTAGGAATTGTATTGTTATACACTTTCCACAGACTGAGAAAACCAAGGTTCAGAGAGTAATTTGCTTCAAGTTCAATCTGAACTTGAACCCAGGCCCCTATTCACATCCTGAACCAATCTGAACGCTGGCTTCACCTCACAGCACGTGATGCATTTTGTTTTCCCCAAAGCAATGATGGCCACTGGGAACCCAGGCACTCCACTGTGCTCCTGTTTTTTGTAGCCATTCTCAAATTGAGTCTTTTTTGTTTTAGAGAGAGGGGAAAGGAGAGACATTGACTTGTTCCACTTTTATTTGCTTTGTTTTTGTTTTATTAATCCACACCTGAGACTATTTTTTCCATTGACTTTTAGAGAGAGTGGAAGGGAGGGAGACAGAGAAAAACATGATGTGAGAGAGACACATTGATGGGTTGCTTCCTGCATGCATCCCAACTGGGCCGGGGATGAAGCCCTTGACCAGAATGGAACCTGGGACCCTTCAGTCCTCAGGCCAACACTCTAACCACTGAGCCAAACTGGCTAGGGCTATTCCACTTTTTTATGCTTTCATTGGTTGCTTTTTGTATGTGTCCTGAAGACAGATCAAATCTGTTTTAACCAACTGAGCTACCTGTCGGGCCCTCTCAAACTTCATCACACAGCCCTGCAGTCACTGTGTGAGCGAGTGTCCTATCTCCTAGCACAGTGTCTGGTACAAAACAGACCCAGTAAACATGCTTGGTGAGTATGGGCCTATTTGATGCCTTTGAGTAATCTAAACAAACTAAGTAAGTTTGTTGTACATTTTTAATGCAATTGTTGACATTTTTTAAAAATGTTGACATGCACGAAGATCATAAAGAGCTTCCCAATCCTCTGCACTCCCCCTCTTCCTGCAGGGTCAACCTGCTCTTCTTGCCCCAGGCCAGCCCCAGCTGCCCTCCCCCACCACACACACACACACACACACACACACACACACACCACCGGCTTTTGCTGACCCACAGCCAAAGGCAGAGACAAACAGGCAGCAGGCAAGGGGACATAAGAGACTGTCCCTGCTGTGTTCCCTTCCCCTGCCACTCTACCCCCACACTCTTCCTTCTAGCCATACCCAATCCCGACCATTCTGGAACATCCTCTGTCCTTTCATGCCTCCATGACTTCGCACATGCTGAGCTTGAAGACAGGAAAGCGCTGTCCCTCCCCTCGTCCGCTACCTCTAAGAGGCCTACAGTCTGCTAGCCAGCTCTGATGTCATCTCCTCTGTGCAGCCTCCTCCCAAACCCCCAGCAATGAGTGCAGCCCTCTTCTTGATGCAGACTAGCCAGCTCATCATTCGTATACTATAGCAGGTGGGCTGCAAGTCAGTGTGTCCCCATGTTCCCAACTCCTGCTGTGTAGAGACTTCATCTCTGCTCTTAGCAGCATCAAGAGAGAAGCCCAGGTTACTTTATTATTTAAAAAAAAAAAAAAATAAAAAATATATATATGTTACTGGTATATTTGAAAATGAAGAAATGACAAAACAAGATCACAAATATTAAGGCATATTTTCCAATGTTTAACAAATTAATGCTTCTAATACAAAAAAATTACAACATAATTGTGCGGCTCACAAGATAATTATAGATTTATTAAAACATAACAATTTACAGTGCTCCATAGGCACTGTGGTCTATTAAGAAACAAGCTTAAAGATATACTAAGAGCAACTTTGATTAAATTGGTAGTGGCTCTGACATAACCTATAACTCCACCTGGAGATCCTGCACAAATGGTCCTCCTGGCCCCTTTCCCCAGTGATAGGCTGTGCTGCTACCTCTGCACACAGTAGGTGCTCGTCGTTTGCTAAGTGATGGGACAAATAGTTTTCCAAATTGGTTATTGAAAACCCACATACAATATTCCTGAGAAACAACGAAGTCCTGAACAATGAGCAGGAAGTCACTTCCTTCTCCAGTGACCCAACCCTCAGAGTCCCGCCGAAGGCTGCGACAGGAAGCCCCTCACCCACTTTCTCTCCTCCCCCTCTTCTCCCCCACTACCGCCCCTACCCCAGGGCCGCCAAAAGAAGTCAGCCTTCCGTCTCTCTCAGCCTCTCTCCTCCACCCTCTGGAGGGACCCAGGTGAAGAAAGAGGAAAGCACTTACTCATAGGAGAAGGCAAGAAGCCAAGCCGGGTTGAGAGAGTTGCCCTGCCCCCGGCCAGGCCTAGGAATAAAAGAAACAGCTGAGGACAAAGAAGGGTTTAAAGCACTGGAGCAAGGGAGAGGAAAAGGCCTAAGAAAGTTTACAGAGCAATCTGTCCGAGAAGGGGTGAAAAGGGAGCCTTGCTGGACTCAGGGGCTGGGGCACTCAGCTCACCTCACCTCAGGCCCAGTTAGAAACCTGTAATTACACTATCAGCCAAAGTATGACCTGACCTCCCTTGACCCAGAGGTTTTTCTAAGGGTGAGGCCCTAACTTGCTGGGATCTTGGCAGCTCCAAATCTCTCTGCTCTGCTGGGCTCAATCCACTAATTTGTCTGAACCCACCAAACTGGTCCAACTTCGAGTTCCCTCTGGATTTCCAGCAGAAACATGATGTGAGAATAAGGTCACCAGCCAATCCTCACAGCGATGGAGCCACTTGGACTTCCCAGATTTTCTGAGCCGATGAAAATATCCACAGAAAGTGCTCACGTTCTGGACGTCTTCCCTGCACCCTCGGCAGGATTAATAACAACTATTATCTGGGTGCGCTCTTTAAGTCATCTCGGTCCTCACCATCATCACCTTAGGTGTGATTATCCCATTTTACAGAAAGAGAAATGGGCCTGGGAAGGTTAAATGACTTTTCAAAGGATATACAGCCTGGATTTCAACCCAGGTCTGTCTGACCTTGGCTGCCTTCAGGAACCCTCTGTGATTCCATTTTTTTTTTAACCTTTTTTGTGTCGTGTACCCATATCGATGTTAGGTGGGGTAAGATGGTACAATTTTGTGGGAGCTAAAGAATGTCTAGCCTCACAGTTGGGGGTGTGGAATGGGAGAGTCTGCCTCATGGCTGGCTAGAGCTCTAGTTCTTTTCAGACACTTGAGTAATTTAACCATAAATAACTGGGCACTGGGAACAGGACACCCACTAATAAAAGCACAGCCTGGAGTCATATTCGAGAGAAAAAAAATTCAAGTCACCCAGTGTATCTGCAAAACAAAAGAAAAGCCCCTTTCCCAGCGCAGGCAGAGAAGTCTCCGGTACAGTTAGAGACAACAGGCTTCTGGGCACATAGCCAAGGTTCTGGGGATATTTATAACTTGAAGAGGGTGGGAGTCCCTAATAAGCTGCTATATTCTTTTTCCATCACTTCCCTCTCCAAGGCTACAGCGGGCTCAGAGCGCTTCTCCACGCAGAATGCCTGCTTTTCCCAGTGCTGGGCTTCCATTGTCTCATTTTCTCATCCTGGCTGGGGAAGGGGAAGGGGGCAAGTCCTTCCGTTCGGAAGAAATCCAGCTGCATGCAGCGTAGCTGCTGGTGGTGTTCCTTGGCTAGCTGCTGTGGTCTCTGGGGGACCTGCCTCTGAGCCTGTGGTTTCTGGGCTGCCTGAGAGTCTGAGTCTCGGGATTCTGTGTGAATCTTTGGGATCTCTGGGCTTTGCCTGCAAGTCTGCGGATTCGAGATCTACCTGCAGGTCTGAGATATCCGGAATCTGCCAGTAGTGATTTCTAGAAACCTTGCCGAACTCCTGAAGTCTCAAAAGAACTCTGCCTGCGGATTTGGAATCTGTCTGGGGCCTCGGGGATCTTGGAGCCGGCGGTCTAGTGGATCTTCTGCGGGCCAGGAGGTAAGTCTGTTCGTTCTCAGCTCGGGTTTGTTTTGTTTTGTTTTTCCCGATTTCCTATCTTCAGCGATCAGAGACTGCTAACCTGTGGAGGGCCAGCCCGGCTCAGGCCCTCAGAGGCCCGTCAGTGTCAAAGGCGGCCAGGAAACCTTTGCGCAGAGAAGCCCTCGGTATGAGAAGGTCGGTTCTGCCCAGCGCTGGGACCTGGCTCGCTCCCTTTGTTTACACGCCCTGGTCCCCCACATTCGCTCAGGGTTTTGGCTTCCCGCTCTGCCAGGCACAGCTCTGCCCGCCCCTCAAGGAGCGCCCTCTTTGGAAGGACGCAGGCAGACTCCCCTATAGGGTTAATAGCGATGGAGCTTGAACACCGCCCGTCCCAACCATCGGCCACACTCGCCAGCTCTCCGGCGGCGCGGGACCTCTTGGGAGTTGTAGTCTGTGCAGCAGGGTGCGGACGCCGCAGGCGCTGCTGGGAGATGTAGTGCGTGGGCGGAGCTCAAAGTTCCAGCGAGGCCGCCGAATCTTCCCCGGGGAGTGGGGGGCTGCCTCTTTCGTCTCAGGCCCGGCTGTCAAAGCAGTGTTAATCCGAGCGGAACCCAACCCAGGCCAGCACGAAATTAGGCCAGACGTCGCAACTCAGGTCCAGCTTCAAGATAAGCTTCTAGGGACGTGAGGAGAAGCAGGGCAACTTCCCTTGCTTACTCGGGCTGTTGTCTCCATCAGAAGAAAGCAGAAGATGCTCTGTCCTGAGTAGGAGAACGCGGTCCTTTCTTCACCCTTTTGTTCTTTTTTCCTCCTTGGCTTTTGGCCCCAGACTGGCCTTTGTACGCCAGCATGGAACTCAAACTCCCGGCAGGCCACAGGGGCAGGCGCAGGCGCGGTAGAGATATCCAGCCTTTTTACGAGAGGCGGGCCTAGTGTTCGGCTCGTAATTGGTGGAGCGTTTTTCGAGCTGCGCTCGCTGATTGGCTAAGGCAGCTGCCGGAAAGGGTTCTTGCTGGAGATGGAAGAGCCCAGGCGTTCTGTGGGCTGGGCTGAGAGCCGCCTCCCTGAGACTGCAGCGGCTGGAGCCCGGGCGGGAGGGACCGAGCCAGGGGGCTGTCCCGTCCTACTCAATTCCGGCATTGCCTCCACCTCTTGGTGGCGGAGACGCAGAGGGCGGGTCGCGCTCGAGGGTCTAGGAGGAGAGTGATCCTCCCCGGGTCCAGGGCCCTCCCCAGCCGCCTGGCGGCCAGAACTCCAGCCCTGGGGAGTGGGCAGGGCCTGTTTTCTGTGCCTCACGCCCTGCTTTTCGCCTCCTTTAGTGCTGTGCTGTCTGCTAGCTGCTTTTCCTGCGCTTTCTCCCGGGAGGCGAATCCTTGAGCCCGAGATGGCAGCCACCCTGCTCATGGCTGGGTCCCAGGTAAGCCGTGGGTGGCTTCGCGGACCCTGCCTCTGCTTATCCACCTGGTCCCGGCGTTTTCTTTGCTCTGCAAATCCCTGTGGGGAATTCCCTGGAAATAGTAATTAGCTCGCTTCGGTATTATGCCTCCAAGGAACCCAGTACCAGACCGGTTTAGCCACCACAAACAAGCATTTATTGAACACCTGCTGTATGCCTTTAAATGCGGGGAGACAAAAGGTGGATGAAACGGGCTCTCTCGCCTGCTCACAGTCTAGGAGACAGATGCATCCGGTTAACCGTGATACAACGTGATAAGAACTCCATTTGCTGTAGGAACAAAATGCTGTGGTGTGAGAAGGAAGGAGTGGGAGTGATTAATTCTGTCTGAGGGGGTCCGAGGGAGGAGTGGAGCCAAGCAGAGGGATGGGGGGGGGGGGGGGGCGGGGGCACTGGAACAGGACCTAAAAGAATAAGTGGGATATCTGGAGGAGGAGGACCAGCGCTTCCAGTCATAACTTATTTTGCTCCTTACAAAATAAAAATTGTTTTTATTTCTTAAAATCCGTTGTCACTTCAATATTTGTCAGTGGTTTTCCTCACCTGGAATGAAAAAGAATAATAGGATTTTTCTGGTTTGAGAAAGATATTCCAGGACAAGAGGGATATTGTGAGTAAAGTTATGGTGCCATGTAGGGTGCTAGATGTGTTCTGAGCAAAGTACAGCTAGCGAATAAGGTTTCAGTGTGGGGCAAGGTTGTCTGGCCGTTGCACCAGAGCAATTAGCTTGTAAATTGCTCTCTTCTTCATTATATCTCTCTTTAGCTTGTTTATTTCTTCTTTGGACTCTCTATGACAGATTTAATTCCCTTTGCCTCCTCAATAATTCTAGCCATGTGTGTAATTTCAAGGAGAAAAACTGTTACCCATCTATGAGATATCAAATAATGAGGAAGCATTGTGTGATTTCAGGCACCAGTGACATTTGAAGATATGGCCATGTACCTCACTCGGGAAGAATGGAGACCTCTGGACCCTGCACAAAGGGACCTTTACAGGGATGTCATGCAGGAGAATTATGGAAATGTTGTCTCATTAGGTAAGTAAGGATCCTCTACCATTCTTCACCCCATGTTTTTGAGACTAGCTCTTTCTACACAACCTAGTTGTTTGATTTTAAAAAAATATATTTTTGTTATGGATTTCAGAGAGGAAGGGAGAGGGAGAAGATAGAAACATCAATGATGAGAGAGAGAATCATTGGTTGGCTGCCTCCTGCGTGCCCCCTACTGGGGACTGAGATCACAACCCAGGGCATGTGCCCTTGACTGGAATCGAATCTGGGACCCTTCAGTCTATCCACTGAGCCAGACAAGTTGGGCAAGTAGTTTGATTTTTAAACCAGATGTCAGGTTCTTCTTGGTAGACTGTCCTCGTGCCTTGTGACTCTGTTGAGGCCATCCATGTTGTTGTATCTCTGTGCTTGGTGTCTTCATCTTGGGACATGGAACAGCCGTGACGATGTCAAAGGGTTGCTGTCACTTCCAGCAGAGGGGTTCCCTCCAGGTCAAGGTGGAAAGCTCTGGTAAACCCTTTTAAAGCATTTAATTGGATATTGACTTGTGTCCTCAAACAAATGTGTGAGTGGGAACATCAGAGTTATATTGTCTATTTTTAAATTTTTATTTATTGATTTGGGGGAGGGGAGGGGAAGAGAGAGACAATTCATTTGTTGTTCCATTTATTTGTGCATTCATTGGCTGATTCTTGTATGTACCCTGACCAGATATCAAACCTGCCACCTTGGCATATCAGAAGATGAGGGGGTTCTGGCCTGGATTCATTGGAGGGCAAAAGCCACCTTTCTGTGTTTGTTTTGGCTTCGGAGCCTTAGCTTTGCCGTAGGTCCTTCATCTGGAGTAGGTGCTTGTCTAGAGTTGACCTTAGATTTTGAGTATGTCAAATGTTCCAGGAAAATCCTGAAGTAAATTAGATCACAAATTATATTATTGAGGAAAGCTAATTTTTCTTTAATATATTTTTATTGATTTCAGAGAGGAAGGGAGAAGGAGTGATAGATAGAAATATCAGTGATGAAAGGGAATCATTGATCAGTTGCCTCCTGCAAGTCCCATGCTGTGGATCGAGACCACAACCTGGGCATGTGCCCTGAATTGGGAATCGAATCATGACCTCCTGGTTCATAGGTTGATGCTCAATCACTGGGCCATGCGGGTGGGCAAGAAAACTAATTTTTAAAAAAATATATATATATTTTATTGATTTTTCACAAAGAGGAAGAGAGGGGGATAGAAAGTTAGAAACATGGATGAGAGAGAGTCATCGATCAGCTGCCTCTTGCACACTCCCTACTGGGGATGTGCCTGCAACCAAGGTACATGCCCCTGATCGGAATCGAACCTGGGACCCTTTAGGCCACAGGCTGACGCTTTATCCACTGAGCCAAACTGGTTTCAGAAGGAAAGCTATTTTTTTTTTTTTTTTTTGATGGTCTGCAAACATGTCTTTTTAAAAAAATATATATGTTTTTATTGATTTTTTTTTTTTAAGAGGGAGAGGAAGGAAGAGGGATAGAGAGCTAGAAACATCGATGAGAGAAAAATATTGATCAGCTGCTTCCCACATGCCCCCTACTGGGGATCGAGCCCACAACCCTGGCATTTGTTCTGATGGGGAATCAATTGGGGACCTTTTGGTTCATGGATCAGTGCTCAACTACTGAGCCACACTGGCCAAATCCTATCTGTTCTCTTAGCTCTCCTTTGTCCTGAGTGTTGTAACCTGAACAAACAGTGTATTCTTGAGCTGAACAGCCTTTAGATTCATTTTGTCTCCTGTTGAGACTCAACAGAAGTTAGCTACCTTGTATGCTTCACTAGGTAATCTGCCATTCATTGAGGACTAATCCTTTATTCCTATAGTCTTTTCCAGAGCAAAAGGCAAATAGAAGGGGTTTTCTTTTTTTTTTTTTAATCATTACCCAAGGATATGCTTTTTTCATTGGGGGGGGGGGAGGGAGGGAGAGAGAGAGAGAGAGAGAGAGAGAGAGAGAGAGAAAGAGAGAGAAAGAAATTGATTGGTTGCCATCAGGACCAAGGATTGAGCTCAAAACCTAGGTATGTGTCCTGACCAGGAATCAAAGCTAGGATCCTTCAGTGCATGGGACAGTGTTCTAACCACTGATCACACTGGCCAGGGTGAGATGTTTTCTTTTTAATTGGCCTTTCTCTGATATCCCAAGTTTCTTGAATCCTTCCTTTAGGAAACAACTAGAAATTAAGTTATCTACCCAGATCTATTGCAGTCTGTTATCCAGATATTCCACTTAATGCAACAAAAATAAGAAATGAGAATCTCAAAGAAATATGAATCTACATATTTAAGGTTGAGTCCAAGGAACACTTGGGGATGGAAACATGGAAGCACCCCCCAAAGAAATTATTTGCCCAAATAAATGAGTTAAATAATGTTAACAAGGCCTCTTTACCTCAAGACTCTTAAAGCCTTTATTATGTTATCAGGAAATGTGAATTTCTAAGAAGATGTTGCATGCATCACTTACCAAAGTAATTTATCCTTGG